GTTCTGAAAATTTGGATATGAGCTTTATTTTTGATTCTCTACAACTTCTCTATTGACACCAAAATGGGTTTCTTTTGAAGAAAGTGCTCAAACTGTCACATATGACAATCGCCCGCAGTTTTCAATTCACCAAGCCAATAATTTCCACTTTCAACTGCACGAATACCATACTTGATCAGCTAAACTGGGACATCTCCAGTCTCCATCTCCAGTTCTTTATCTCCAGTCCTCCATTTTCGAGTCTGACACTTGTCTCACACACAAACCAAAATCCTACTACGAAAGAGGAATCCGCAAATTGCCTGTAATCGAATTTGCAGAGAAATTTCTTGATCTAATCACAAACTTTTTCCATAAATCACCTTGACCTGAGCTTTTTTTTTCTCGTTTCTTTAACTGAAAAGACTCGTTTCTTTGGTGGAAATCAGTGGGTTTCGAAGAAAAAAAAAACGTAACTTTTTGTTCACAGTTCACAGAAAAATTTCAGCTGATCACTCTCGTAAATCTCTTTTAATTGAAAAAAATCTCTTTTGATTGTTTTTTGATTGATTTGGATTTCCTGAAAAAAATCGTGATTTACCAGCCAAATCAAATTTGGCCAAGGTCATCATGATCAATCAGATTTGATTAGAGAAAAAAAATGTAGGCACCACCTGGATCCTTTTCCTTTTTATCCTTTTTATTCTCGCTTCAGGTCATTTGATATAAAAGAAAAGGTCAAGTTCGAAGGAAAACTCGGACTTATTTGTTCTGGGGGTTCTGGGGGTTCTGGGGGGTTCTGGGGATTCCTGCGGCTACTGAAAGTTGAATTGTTCTTTTACAAAAATATTCATTTACATTTGTACATGTCCATTTGCAAGAGTTTTACAAATGAACTAGTGTAGCAAATTTAATTGGATCAGCTGGATTTGTCTGATCAGCTGGATTTGTCCGATCAGCTGAGTGTGCTGGATTTGTCTAGCCATGTTTCAACGACCTTGTAGCTTGTGAGTTTGATCGTCCAATCTCATCCGCAAGATCTCATCTCTAACCTCAAATAAGATTTAACCGTTTCTGCGTTTTTGGTCTTTTCTGTACTTTGTTCCAATCAATACTCAAATTTCCGTCCAATTTTTGCCGATTTTTTTTACTCTAATCGAAACTTGACAAAACCCAAAAGTAAAGATAAAAAATAGAAAATGAACAGTCAAGTTTTCAAGTGAAAATTCCCATTTGAAAAGGTTTAAAAAGATTTTTGGACTATAAAGAGCCAGATTTGAGCAACTACCAAATGTTTGTTCTATTTTTAAGAGTCGATTTGATTTTTGAAAACAATATCGTGGTTTTTTATCAGCATTGGCACTGAAATCTATGTATTAAGCTGGAAAAAATCAGCTGATAAACACATTTCGGTGTTTTTGGTGGGGATAAATAGAGACTATTTTGCCGAAATTTCCCCCATCTTTTCTAGTAAGCCCAATTTTTTTCAGTTTATTTCAATAAATTGATTGATCAGTTGATTTTCTCTTTTTTTCTCTGGATTTCTCTGGATCTAATGCTTCAGCAGGCCAGAAGCCATGCTCTCACTGATCACCTCACCTTTAGAACTTTGGCTTTTACCATCTTGGGGATAACCCGGGCTTTTGTTAGGCTCGTTAATTTTTGGGGTCAAAAAAAATGCTTAAGCTTAAGAACAAGGTTTTTAGGCAGTTTATCGAATACCAGCCGAATGAAGCAGCTATCGAATAACGGCGGATTTTAAAATAACTCGCAAAAACCATAGATCATTACAGAAAACCGTCATAGTGTAGGTTGGACGATTCAAAAACGGACAGCCGATCCAGAAATGGACGTCCGTTATTGAATAGATTCAATAACAGACGTCCGGCTTTGAATAGATTCAATAGTAGACGTCCGTCATTGAATAGATTCAATAACAGACGTCCGTCATTGAATAGATTCAATAACAGACGTTCGTCATTGAATAGATTCAATAACAGACGTTCGTCATTGAATAGATTCAATAGCAGACGTCCGGCTTTGAATAGATTCAATAGTAGACGTCCGTCATTGAATATATTCAATAACAGACGTTCGTCATTGAATAGATTCAATAACAGACGTTCGTCATTGAATAGATTCAATAACAGACGTTCGTCATTGAATCGAACGAAATTCAAGAACGGACGTAACGTATATAAGGAAACGAGCCTTGTGGGAATATTCCTGTTTCTGACTTTTGCTTTTGCTTTTGCTTTCTTTCTGGTTCACTAAACTGAAGCGTTTCTCTTAGAGAATGAGAATAAATCTCTTAGAGAATGCAATGCATCTCTTAGAATGCAATCAAAGTGTGCCGGATACAATGTGTTTACAATGAGCAATGGCAACTCTTATTAGACCATGTTCTGCGCTTTGTGTACTATGTACTTTGTGCTAAGTACATAGTACACAAAGTACACAAAGTACACAAAGTACACAAAGTACACAAAGTATACAAAGTACAGAACCTAACCTCTTACCATTGCTCAAATCTCTTTCAAATGTCTAAACAAATGAAAATGATCAGCTAACTCGAGCATAAAAATAGATTGCTCAAAACAAATTTTACTTGTTATCGATGAGAAATCGAAACTTTTCCCTCAAAAAACGTTTATCTCTCGTCGTCACTATCACTTTTTTTACGATATCAACCCACAACCCATTTTTTGTTCTTTTCTCTCAAACAGTCACTGAAATCAAAAGTTTCGTCATGAATTTTTCCCCGAATTCCTTTTTTCTTTCTTGACCTTTGCCCAATTTCCAATTTTGTCATGATTTTGCTCAATTGTATTGAAAAATATGAGTCAATTCATCAAATATCTAAAGTTTTCCCATTATAAACTCAAAAAAATCGCTGTTTTCCATTAAAATCTCAAAGTTTCACTTTTGAAACGTTCAATTTTCCCCTTTTTTTCCCCCGATTTTCTTGATTCTATTCCACAAAGAATAGTAAATTTTAAAAACTAAAAAGAACTTTCATTTTCTGAGTAAACTTTTTTACTTTTTGCTTTGAAAGACTTTAGATTTAATGTTTTGACTTTATGTTTTATAAAACAAACGTTCGATATTATATTATTATATCAATATTGTTTCAGAATGACACCACAAGCATCCACTTCCACCCAATCCCCATCAGAGAGACTCAAAGCGGCGCTGGCTGAACAGGAAAAGGTTTGTGAGAATAAAAACTAGATCTTCGATCGATAATGAGTAATCGTAGATAATCGATAATCAGTAATGTCTAACACGATTTTCGTCCTAAATGATCCTAAATGATCCTAAACAATCCTGAATGATCCTAAATGATCCTAGAGGATCCTCAATGATCCTAGAGGATCCTAAATGATCCTAAATGATCCTAAAGGATCCTAAACAATCCTAGATGATCCTAGAGGATCCTAAATTAGCCTAAATGATCCTAAATGATCCTAAATGATCCTAAATGATCCTAAATGATCCTAGAGGATCCTAAATGATCCTCAATGATCCTAGAGGATCCTAAATGATCCTAAATGATCCTAGAGGATCCTAAACAATCCTAGATGATCCTAGAGGATCCTAAATTAGCCTAAATGATCCTAAATGATCCTAAATGATCCTAGAGGATCCTCAATGATCCTAGAGGATCCTAAATGATCCTCAATGATCCTAGAGGATCCTAAATGATCCTAAATGATCCTAGAGGATCCTAAACAATCCTAGATGATCCTAGAGGATCCTAAATTAGCCTAAATGATCCTAAATGATCCTAAATTAGCCTAAATGATCGAAGCAGCCAATTCTAACTTGCTTGTGGCTTTTCAAGCTCAATTTAAGACTAAATCACTCGCTGTTGCCCTAAAGCGTTTTTCCAACTACAGCCTTTCCCAACTACTGTAACCTTTCCCAACTCTTGTCAATTCTTTTCCCAAATTTTGTATCTTTCGATATCTTTTGTGAATTTTAACAAACTCGCCACTTTACTCACTACAATCTGACACAAAAAGTGACAAAATTAGAAAGTTGGCATGTTTTAGAAAACGGTTTACTTGAGAGGCACCAATTCTAGTCATGCTAAAACTTTAAGAAGCTAGGTTGACTTTCCCTTATCAGAAGCTGATAAGGGAAAGTCACAAAGGCTGAACTGAACCAAATAGCCAAATGACTGAGCCATAGAACGCAGAATTTGACGCTGATTCCAATACTGCAAACCGTTTTTGCTAAATGATTCGAAAAAAGCATTGCCAATAAAATTGGCAAACAAACAAAGAACTAATTTCACCTCAAACAAAGTTTGAGGTGAAATTAGAGGTCAAAAATCACCACGTATATAAGGCTTCTTTCACCGTTTCGAATGCGAGCTTGTGGTGTAGTGGAGTCTTGTTGGCGTCTAGGGTGTAGTGGAGTTTTGTTGGCGTCTAGGGTGTAGTGGAGTCTTGTTGGAGTGTAGGAGTCTTGTTTCCAAAACTGTCTCTCAAGTTCTTGCTCGGGTGCGATCCCTTCCTCTTGTTTTCATTTTATTTTGATGTTTATTTGTCCTATGGCTGCGTCCTATGGCTCATTTCATTTGGCTATCTCACCCTTGTGACTTTTCCTTTGGAATCTAAGATCTAAGATCAATTGCGAGCTTAGACGATCAATTGCGAGCTTAGAAGATCAATTGCGAACTTACTATTAGAAGCAAATTTTCCAATCCAATCAATTTCACCAATTTCCAGGCGGCCAACATCGCCTCGACGGCCACCGGTGTCATCGTTTCTTTGTGTTTTTTCGTTCTCCCACTCGTTTGGTCGAATGTTTTCCGAATTCTTCCGATTGTCATCCAATCTCCCTCATCAAATGCCCAATCCGATCCATGGAGTGAATTCAAAGATTTGTAATGATTCAAAGATTTCTTTCATTCTAATTTATTCATTTTTCTGCCTAGCAATTTTTTCCGATATAAACGGGCTCAGGGTTTTTGTCAAAATGCTTAAAAAAATGCTAAAAAATGCTTAGCATTACGGTAAGAGTTGCTTAAAATATCCCCAATTTACCAATAGTGATTTGTAGTCTGACGGAGCGTACTTGTAGTCTGACGGAGCGTACTTGTAGTCTGACGGAGCGTACTTGTAGTCTGACGGAGCGTACTTGTAGTCTGACGGAGCGTACTTGTAGTCTGACGGAGCGTACTTGTAGTCTGACGGAGCGTACTTGTAGTCTGACGGAGCGTACTTGTAGTCTGACGGAGCGTACTTGTAGTCCGTCAGACTCAGACTACAAGTACGCTCCACTTTTAAATGGAATTTTCTTGTTATTTTGCGAGTGAATAGGTTCTTTTTTTTGTTTTTACCATGTAATAAAGAAATTTTTGTTACATTTTTTTTACAACAGAATTTTAATAGGTTTTTCCAAGTGAAAAATGGACAAACGGGATTTGAAATGTTATCGAAATTTTTTAAAACAAAAATCGAACTCGAAAACAACAATGGAAAATGATGATAGTGAGGATTAGGAAAAGGAAAAAAAAGGGTTTAATCAGAAAAAATGGGAACTCGAGGTGCGCTTTCGGGACGGACCGTGGAAACGCTGCCAAAGGAGGTCGAAGCTGGAAAAGTAAACTATTTCATTTTTTGGCAAAGCTTTAACAATTTTAAAGTAAGTTTGCATTCAAAAATTTATAAATACCGTATTTTCTCTAATAGTAGTGCTAATGAAAGATTCTCGTTTGCTCAACAATTGATTTCACTCAAAAGCACACCCGGGTCAGCCTAATTATACTCAAATGGGAAGTTTTGCGAGAGGGCCCACGTGTTCTTGTGTAACCTTTTTTTTTTCCTAGGATTCCTTTTAGGAAAACCGGTCATTGACAGAAAATAGCTCAAAGGGGAGAAGATCGTATTTTCCCTAGTCGCCTAAATTCCTCGAAATCTCGAGAACCGCTGAGCAGAACCTATCGATGTGGGTCGGAAAATGTAGCTGACGATGAGATCTTGTGAGGGATTTGAGTGTTGAGCTTCTGGCGAAGAATTGGAAACCGTAAAATAGGCATCAACTCGGCTCGGTGCGGTGCACTACTATTAGGGAAAAGAAGGTAGTTTTATTGATAAAATTTTAAAAGATAACTGAAGTACGGTAGCCCTTCCATAATCGAATCTTTTAGAAAATAGGAAAGTAGGGGGAAAGATCATTCACTAAAATCTACGAAAACTAAGATTTTCTATACCGTTTTCTCTCTAATAGTAGTGGACCCTAAGCGTCGCCTAAATTCCTCGAAATCTCGAAAACCGCTCATCAAAACCTATCGATGTGGGGTTGGAAAATGTAGCTGACTATGAGATCTAGTGGAGGATTTGAGTGTTGAGCTTCTGGGGAAGAATTGGAAACCGTAAAATAGGCATCAACTCGGCTTGCCGGGGTGCACTACTATTACAGGGTGACCATAAAGTATGGAAACCAATTTAAAGCTTTGTCCTGGACTCAACAAATTCAATAAAGGCTTGCAATAAGGAAAATAAGGCAATCGTTGTCTGAATAAGATTACCGTATTTTCTCTAATAGTAGTGCACCCTGATCGTCGTCTAAATTACTCGAAATCTCGAGAACCGCTTATCAGAACCTATCGATGTGGGGTCGGAAAATGTAGCTGACGATGAGATCTTGTGAGGGATTTGAGTGTTGAGCTTCTGGCGAAGAATTGGAAACCGTAAAATAGGCATCAACTCGGCTCGGTGCGGTGCACTACTATTAGAGAAAACTACTATTAGAGAAAATACTCAATTCTTTCCCGAGTTTTTAATGTGAAAGTTACATTTTAGTTTCTAAGCTAAAGTTTGGAATTGTTAGACAAGAAAATAGTGATATACTTGTAGATAAATCTTTAGTCTTTAGGTTTTATCTTTTATCTTTTATCTTTAATCTTTATCTTTAAGCTTTAACCTTTATCTTTATCTTTAAACTTTAGGTTTTATAATATTTGTTGCGGTAAACTTAAATTTAACCTTTTTCCTCAATAGGCCATTAAATTGAGCTATTAGCACGTGTTCTGTGTAGAAATTTGGGCAAAACGCTAGAGAAAGATGTCACTTGGCAAAGAAATTGGCTGGTTTGGAATGGCTAGTGTTTCTAGTTGACAGGAACGTTTATTTTTAGAGAATGCATTAGATGTGGGCACAATAAATGACAAAAATGACGAACTGTCAGATTACAAACGCTTCTAAATTGCTTCATAACTGTCGGATTCATATAATCTATAGCTCAAAAAATAGAGAATCTCAAGAGCTTCCGAATGGATCAAAGCGCACTCAAAGATATCAATGCTAACGATAGTTATAGTGATTTGTAGTCTGACGTACCGTACTTGTAGTCTGACGTAGTCTGAGTTTGACGGACTACAAGCACGGTCCGTCAGACTACAAATCACTATAACATTCTTTAGGATTGATATTTTTGATTGTGCTTTAATCTATTCGAAAGCTCTTGAAATTCTCTATTTTTTGAGCTATAGATTATATGAATCCGACAGTTATGAAGCAATTTAGAAGCGTTTGTAGTTTGTAGTGCCCATGTCGAGAATGCTTTGAAATGAATGCTAGAATCCTTTAGACTACATAGCGCTTCTTTGGATTTAAGTGATTCCTTCTTATTTTATTTTCCTTTCCTTACCGTAACAACGGTTGTTTCAGCATCGATTCATTGATATTTTCAGCTGCTTCAGCTTTCTTTCCTCTTCTTCCACTGCTTTTTTCATATTGTTTCGCATATTGTTGTTTTCGGTCGTGTAGAAATTCTAAAGATGTAAAGATTTTGCTGCTTAACATCAAATTGATGCCGATTTGTATGTAATTGGGGGCGGGGCGGGGTGCTTATAAAAGCCGCCCCCTTTGCCATTGGCACTCCAACTTCGAGCTCAAATATCTTGGTGTTGAGCTGTCCAATTCCAATATTTTTGGTATCATTAAATGCGTCAAGTCTTTCTCTATCGATCGGCACAAAAACTATTTAAATTGGACAGCCCAACATCAAGATATTTGAGCTTAAAGTTAGATTGCCAATGGCAAAGCCCCGCCTCTTTGCCGCCCCGCGCCCCGCCCCCACTCCTTTCCCATTAACAATCTAACTTTGAGCTCAAATATCTTGGTGTTGAGCTGTCCAATTCAAATAGTTTTTGACCCAATCGATAGAGAAAGACTTGACGCATTTAATGATACCAAAAATATTAGAATTGGACAGCTCAACACCAAGATATTTGAGCTCAAAGTTAGATTGCCAATGGCAAAGGGGCGGAGCGTTCCTTTTATACGCGCCCCGCCCCCTTTGCCGTCCAATATCCCGCCTCCTTTGCCCGGTAATCTAATTGGGATTTTCTAAAGAGAGTATGGATAAGTTAGAACAGACTAACTTGTTCAAACACTTGCCTGAGCTTGAGCTTGAGCCTAAAGCTACCGTAACCCGATTTTTTGTTAGTTTGATCTTTTTCTACATTCTTTACACAGTAATGATCTAATGATACTAAGAATATTGAAATTCGACAACCTAACACCATGAAATTTGAGTTCAAAGTTAGATCAATCTATAGATCTCTAGGTAAAACGTCAAAAAGATACGATCATTGAACTAGTAATGGAAATGAAAAACCAAGTGCACCAGCGAAGGTGTGTTTACATCTTTTAAGAGCACAAAGTACACCAGATAAAGCCTTAGGAACTTTGAAAAGTTTCCCTCTCTCAAAGTTTTCCCTTCAATTTTCTTCCTTCAATAACAATCAGCCAGAACTGGCTAATTGTAAGTAATTTTCAAGTGATAAAGCAAGCCAAAAGTCATCAATTGCTTTAGTTTCTAGCTTAAGATCTAAACTGAAACATGTGCCAAACTCACGTCTAACTTGTGCATTCAAATGATGCAACTCGGCGATGTGATTCCTCGGCTGAAGAAACATGCTCCCGGAAGTGAGAAGAAACAAAACAAATAATAGAAATAATTCCCGCATTCACCCGGTAGTTTGAAGAAAAAACTAGAAAAAGCTTTTTCTATAGTTGTTTATCTAAAGTTGTTTTGAAAAGTTGTTTTTAAAAATTGCTTGAAAAATTTAGACTTTGCCCAAAGAAAACCCATTTGCTTTTGGAGTTTCTGGAGTTTTTGGCTTTGGAATTCTCGCACTGAATGTGAAATGTAAGGAAAATACATTTCCCTAAAGGCGAATGGAAGATTTTGAATGATTTTTGAACTGATAAATAGAGGAAAGGATAAAATCCTCGAAGCGACCAAGAATTCGTTTCTGATCGTTTTTAAAAGCTGGAATCAAGTTCAACACCTAGCACACTACCAGTCATTTCACGGATCTATTAGAATTCATTCTAGCATCAGATTATAGTACTAGACTTAACCTAATGACCTAACGAGATTATTTCGAAGACTGGTCGAGATCGAAGACTTGTCGAGATCGAAGACTTGTCGAGATCGAAGACTTGTCAAGATCGAAGACTGGTCGAGATCGAAGACTTGTCGAGATCGAAGACTTGATAACCCGTGAAAAAGCGTGGAAAATGTTATAGTCTGCGTAAACTCTTAGCGCTATTTATTTTCCCGATAAAGCGTTAAATTGAGCTCCTCATAAACCTATAGTTTTCTCTGTACCTCGCTTAATTCCTTACTTTTATCGGTTTTAACCCTTTGCTTCTCCTTTTTTCCTTTTCCTTTTTGCTTTTTTTTGTCTCAGTAACCCTTGCTACAAGATTGTTTCAATCTGCCCTAGGGTCCAGTCCAAGTTTAAGCTTCACTGGCGAGGCATTAGATAAGAACGTTATCAAATTCCAGGTTTGATACACCAGATTCTAGGCTCATCTATTGGCTGGCCCAATTCCGATAAGAATTTATCGACTAAAGTTGACAAACTAGAATCTATTAGAATTCCTCAAGGCCAAATAGAATCCTGACCAAAGCTGAAGTAAAGTAAAGGTAAGGTAAAGGTAAGGTAAAGGTAAAGTAAAGGTAAAGTAAAGATAAAGTAAAGGTAAAGTAAAGGTAAAGTAAAGGTAAAGTAAAGTAAAGGTAAGGTAAAGGTAAGGTAAAGGTAAAGTCAAAAAAGTAAAGGTAAAGTAGAAAAAGTAAAGGCTAAAATACTATAAAACATCAAAAAAAGGTAGGTAAATTCGGCTTCTCGTCGTATTTCTTGGGATGGATCAAGAAGGATCAGTGGATATGGATGAAGGATGAAAGGAAACGAACTAATTATCTTCAATGGGTGGGACACCTACACTTCTTAAGCCCCACATGTATATCTGAAGGGAAAAAGGGAATGATATGAAGAGGAAAAGAAATGACATTAGTTATTAGACGTTTTACATCACTTTTTGGTTCACATTTTTCAATTTCGGATTAGCATTGACATCATTGAGTATGTGATAGAGAAAATGAACTACTTTTTGACTTTCTTTTTGACGCTTTTGACGGTTTTGACGGTTTTGACTCTTTTGACGCTTTTGACTTGGGTTTGCATATAAAAAGTGAATGTAACCAAATCGCTTTCTCGAATTAATCAATTCGAATCAAATTAATTTCCATTCTTCTTAGCGCTCTTTTATTTTGCTGATAAGGCGCTAAATTAAGCTCCTCATAAACTAACCAACCAATTAACCTATAGCTTTCTCTGTACCATTCGAAAGTTGAGTGCCTAGTTACAGTATGAATTAGCCTGTTGTTCGAAAAATCTCGTTTTAACACTAGTTTATGTGCTTGAATCAAGATTTTCAGTCTTTTGCACCTTATCGTCTTATCTTATCGTATCGTCTTATCTTATCGTCTTATCTTATCGTCTTATCGTACAAACTTCTTTGGTTAATCAACCACAAGTTAAACCGTTATTTCTACCGTTACTTCAACTCAACGATTTACTTGCACGAGCTCAATAATCTGGCTAAAATGCGGAAGGATTCAAGCAAAATAGACCAAGGCTTGTTCGAAACAGAATGAAAGTAACAAGTTAACTGGTTTACCTTGTATTTAACATTGTCTTAACAGCAAGAAACTAAACAAAAATTTGAAAAATATATAACAAGATTGGGAGAGAAAAGAGGTATTCTGACGAGACAACAATTGAGCGAAATTCATCCTTTTTCGTAGTCATTTGTCTTACTTTGGAACGACTTTTCGATGTAAATTTGTAATCTTGAGTGTATAACGCTAAATATTTAGCACAGCTGGCCAGAAAGTCGTTTCGTTCCTTTTAAAACCAATAAATGCATCAATTGAGCTACACCCTGGACAGCGTGAACTTTCTAAACTTTCTGAACTTTCTAGACTAAACATGTGTTCAGTCGGTACCAGGCTTGTTCTAGCAAGCCATGCCAAAGTCAGGTTGGCTTTGCTTGACCAGCCGAACCGTTTTTTAGCCTTTTAAAAGCAGCACTAAGTCCGAAGAACTGGATTCAAAGCATTCTCAATGATGAGGGCTGCTTTAAAGGCAACTTCGCCAGAACCAGATCAGAAGCCAGAACCAGATCAGAAGCCAGAACCAGATCAGAAGCCAGAACCAGATCAGAATCCAGAACCAGATCAGAAGCCAGAACCAGATCAGAAGCTAGTCGGCATTACTGCAACCCACAAAAACCCATTGAGCTCACCAGAAACCAGACGGATTTCCTGTACCTGGCTTTTGAACTGACGGACTTACAGCCTCTGGTCAACATCTACGAACTATTGCTGCAATCCAGGCCTGCCTTTACTGGCTGAGTGCTGTGTTTGTGTATTTTAACTAATTTTAGAAAACCCATTTATTATCATTTCTATTCCAGAATATTTCAAATTGCACAATTGAATGAATAGAGATGAAAGACATTGCACTTCATGAAAGACATTGCAAAAAAATAACAACACAACAAAAGTTTAAGACTTTACAAATAGCTACCCATGGCAATCGATTTGAAAAGGGAAATAATATTATAAAAAGTGAAAGTACAAATACAATACAAAGTAATAGAAAGTAATAAAGGTATAAAAAAAAGCTTGGTTAGAAGAATTGCTTGGTTAGAAAGCTTGATTAGAAAGCTTGATTAGAAGAACTGTTTCGGCAAGAAGAGATCGAGGACTGAGGTCAAATAGGCGACACCGAAGGGAAGCTGAAAATGAGATGAAATGCTCGTTACCGTATTTGCCGTAGTCCTGACAGACTGCTAATAAAACTCTATCGATTACCAATACCAATACAGCTAACACTATCGCTTACGAATACTAATATTAAGCCTAAAGTCGGTTTTCTAAAAACAACCCTGAAAAGCTAGCTACCTAAAGTAATCTGGCTACCTAGGTAACTCGATTTGTCTCCATTTACCTGTACAATTTCTTCCCGTTGATGATCGGTATGCCAACCCATTAATGTTTGCACTTTTTTGTGTAAAGTCCAAAATGTTTGTTGAAGGGTTTTGAGGCCCAAATTGGAATGGCATGATGAGAGGATTCCATTCACAAAGAGATCACCCGATGACGTCAATGGAGCATAAATGCCAACACCGGATATCTAGAAAGAAAAAAGATTGGGTGAAAGACATGTAAGTATCATGTAAGTACTATTCTAATTGATGCTCAGCCTCTAATAGAAGCTCAGCCTCTAATAGAAGCTCAGCCTCTAATAGAAGCTCAGCCTCTAATAGAAGCTCAGCCTCTAATAGAAGCTCAGCCTCTAATAAAAGCTCAGCCTCTAATATCCATAGTTATTACTCTAATAGAAGTAATAACTATGGATATTCGGCTTAGTAGACTGAATACCTTGAGTTTTGAATCTTTAAGAATATAGGCTATATAAGCATTTCCTTGAGAAAACTTGCATTCTTTATCATTTGTTTTATCAAGCAGTGACATTTTAATAAGTTTTTCTTGCAATTAGGTAGCTTATTTGAAGCGAATTTATAACTTAGACTCGGTATTTAAATTCGGTTGAGGTGAAAATAGTTTATGCTATACATGACGGCCGTGAATGATAGCGAGGTTGAGAGCTTGGTGTCCTTTTCAAAGCAATTTTAATTAAAGAAACCATTTTAGCTTACCCGTGTGATATTCTTGACCAATTGTCGCTCCAACTGTGTTCCAGAGCTCAATGAATGAAGGCATTGATTGATCTGAAATGTAAAAAACGAAAATTTTGAATAAGAGAACCATTTTGAGTTATCGCTCTGCTTTCCAGGGTTGGTTTATGGCGTAATTTGTGGCCAGCTCTTGCAAAATGTCCTTCTGGTGCACTCAATTCTTTGTTTTCTTGTTCTTGTTTTCTTGTTTTCTTGTTTTCTTTCATCACCTTATTGCATTTCTTGCATTTCTGCATTCGGCTACCTGTTGCGAGAAAGATAAGCCTGCATGGTGGACCAGAAAGGCTTTGTTTAGCACAAAGTAGACAACAATGTGTACCACAATGTATACAATGTATACAACAAACAACAACCCACTTTGACATCTTTCGATTGAATCAACGACAGCTCCTCTTCTTCACAATCGCTCACATAGATCAAATGTTTATCGGTTAACTCGATGAAGTCCCCATTTTCCTGAATGATGCATGGAAATGTTTTGCGAAATATTCACCCACCAGCGTTATCCGATTGAACTCGGCAAGCTCGTCGTCGAGTTTATGCATGAACATGATAACTGGAGAGAATTGCACCTGTAAAAGAAGATTGTATTGTTTGGGAGCTGTACTACAAACCTACAAACCTACAAAACTTTTTATTAGGTTGATGCAAAAGTCTTTTTCATTTTTTTCGTCTGCCGTTTCAAGCGAACAAATGCACCAATTAAACTACGGTTGATTTCATTAGAAAAAGCAATTATTTTTCTGCAAAATAACATTAAAACGGGTTTAAAAATATTGAATGCCTGGATTTTCTTGAGAGTATGAAGTCGGGTAGTCAAAAAGGGCTAACTCGATGATGCGGTTTAGACACCTTAGCTAAAGAAAACCTATCTTCGTGTCAATAGATAAAAGATAGAGAAAAAAAAACGTTTGATATTTCGCCAAAATTTCAGAGAAATTCATTCAGCCAATTTTTCCGTAGAGTTTTTTATAGATTTTTACGAAAAAGGCGTTTTTCACTCTCGAATTTGCTTCAAAGTGAACCGAAATTCATTTAAAAAGATGCAAATTGAACAAAAAAACACTTTTTTTATAGAGCAAACTATAGATTAATTCGTGAATTTGTTACTTTTTAACAGAAGTACGAAAAAAATGAAAAAGACTTTTGCATCAACCTAATACAACAGTAAAACAGCTACAACAGTTAAATAAAGTTTATGAAGCCTAATAACTAGAAAATTTAACAAATTTGACTCTGGGCGACGCCATTTTGTCTGGAAAAGCATCGCAAATTCGCATTTAACTGTCAAACAGTGAACAGTAGACTTGTAACGAAAATATTTGTCGGTTCTTTTTTGCCGTTGGCAATTTAGGGCTTTTCGTGTTTTGTTCAGCACGAAACCCTTCGATTTTGACTATCATTCGATGCAGAATAAAACTGCGCGTCGAATGACACCAAAATCAACTCAAAATGTAATATCCACGTAAAGTTGTTGGCTAAAAGCCTGAACCCCGCTCATTCTCGCCTTTGCCTCATAACTCTGCATGGATATTATATTTTGAGTTGATTTTGGTGTCATTCGACGCGCAGTTTTATTCTGCATCGAATGATAGTCAAAATCGAAGGGTTTGTGCTGAGAAAAACACGAAAAAACGTAAATTGCCAACGGCAAAAAAAGGATCAGCAGATGTTTTTGTCACAAGTTTGATGAACAGTGAATTAAACACGGAACACTTGCATAACGAAAACAATTTGAATGCAAAATATTTATAAAATTGTGAATACGTACAAGTAGCAATCTTGTTTTTGGTAGGGCTTTCAGCAAATATGCAAATTTGCGTCGGTCAGAGTCACAAGAATGTTAAGAACGTTCTTCTGCCTTATGGCCAGCGCAAATCTTATGCAAATTGAGGAATCGATATGTAGATTTAAAAGCCAAAGTCATTTAAAGTCACATGTACCGAAAATTTAGTTTGAATTGCTTTTTAGCTCTTCGGTACTTATGCCCATCAAATTTGCGTTTAAAGTTTTTATCAATGCCTAGCTGACTTTTTTCTGAAACTCTTCTGGATTCATTTACCCGAATAGTTTGCCTCGTGCTTAGCTGAAGGTTGGAATAGGGTTTAAACACTAGCACTAACACTAGCACTAGCACCAACACTAACACTAGCACTAACACTAACACTAACACTAGCACTAACACTAGCACTAACACTAGCACTAACACTAACACTAGCACTAGCACTAACACTAGCACTAGCACTAGCACTAACACTAACACTAACACCAACACTAACACTGCACTAGCACTAACACTGCACTAACAAAATAGTACTATAGAAAAGTTGTCGAATCAATCAATTCACCGACCATATTCCCATCAATGCTCAACACCAGATCCCCGATCTCCAATTCGCCGATTCTCTTCTTTCCACTCGGCGTCTCGACTTCAGAATTTTTCGAGAAACACTGCATTTTGGTGAAGAGACCATTCAGGCCCTGAAATCAATTTTTCAAGTATTCAAGTAATTTTACAATTCTCTATTTCCCTTCAAAGCTCACTCACCCCATAAGAAGACGGATATCCGTATGATGGATACGAGTAACTCGGTTGGTATGCCGGTTGGTATGCCGGTTGATACGATGGTTGATACGCTGGTTGATAAGCTGGATAAGCGGGTGCTGTTGGATAGGAATTGTAGGTGGGAGCTGGTGGAGCGATAGGGTAGGAGGATGGAGCTGGACCGACTGGACCGGGGCCACAACCCATTGGATTCGTGCATGGAGTGGGTGGAGAGGGCATTGCTGGGAAGACGGCGTTGCTGAAATGCGGTTGTGTTGGGTCAATGCATATGAAGTGGCTAAATTTTTCCAAAGAGCGGCTGTTGACGCTCTTCGATTGTGAGCCCTAAACGCTATGGAGGTGGTTTACACCAAAGTCCCATTGCTACGCAAAATATTTGCCGAATATTCTACCTTTATTTATTCTTTTTTCCGGCTTTTATTCTTCCAATTGAAAATTTAAAGCCCGGTCATGTTTAGCATGTACGAGTTTTTCTAGAAGCACGCATCAAGCCATCAAGTTCCTCTAGAAGCACGCATCAAGACATCAAGTTCCTCTAGAAGCACGCATCAAGCCATCAAGTTCCTCTAGAAGCACGCATCAAGCCATCAAGTTCCTCTAGAAGCACGCATCAAGCCATCAAGTTCTTCTAGAAGCACGCCTCAAGCCATCAAGTTCCTCTAGAAGCACGCATCAAGCCATCAAGTTCCTCTAGAAGCACGCATCAAGCCATCAAGTTCCTCTAGAAGCACGCATCAAGCCATCAAGTTCTTCTAGAAGCACGCATCAAACCGTGCCAATATTCGGGTTGTATATGGGATAGTCTATTAGCGAACACACATGCCAACGATGGTTCAGAAAGTTTCGATCTAGTGATGATTCTCTTGAAGATGAGCAGCGTGGCAGACCGGAGATAAAGTTGATGCTGATCCGAGAACCCGAGAAAGACGTTGATCTTCTGACACTTCTTCAACACGACAACCGGCTTACTTCATACGAATTAGCAGAACATCTAAAGGTTGACCAATCCACGGTACTCAAACATCTACAAGCTCATGGGTTTACATCGAAATTGGGGATTTGGATACCCCATACCCTGACCGATGCTCAGTGATTGAACCGAATCTCGATCAATGCTACCTATCTTTCGCGATATGAGCAATACTCTTTTCTCCGCCGGATTATTACGGGGAATGAGAAGTGGGTGCTTACTGGGAACCTTTGAAGGAAACGTCAATGGGTGACACCCAGAGCGACGCCCGAACCAAATCCGAATTGCATTGAATTGCATTGCCTGAATTGCACCAGAAGCAGTTTATGCTATTGGTTTTCTGGGATATGGAGGGAGGGGCCGATTGGGAGTTGCTGAATAGTAAACCAGCACTTAAATCTGTTAAATACACCAATCAACTCAAAAAACTATTCTCAGCCTTGACAAATGGTAAACCAAAAAAGGCAAAAATCATTTTCCTCCCGAATAGGAAACCCAAAAGATTTTACCTTTTTTATCGATTCTTACAATTAGCTATCATTGGCATCTATCCTTCATTTTCTCTTTTACCTAAAACTAGCTGGTGCTTGTCCATATTGTTGTCCACTATTTTGCATCGTCGAGTAAACTGGTGGCCCTTGTGGACCATCCATTTGAGGTTGTTGTACGTTCAATGGTTGAGAGGCGGCCGGAGCCGATCCACCGTAACTCTAAAGAACTATCGTATAATCGGCTTGTCTCTGTAAAGCTAGATACCATAATCTAGCAAGGGTAGGTACGAAAATCTCTGCAAAAATGGGTACACTCCCTGAAAAGATAGGTAGATACGATAGTTCAAAGATTGGTCAATGATCGCTGACAGTGATCACTGACAAATAGCATTCTGACACAATCCACACAATCCACTTTACTCACATTATCGTATGGCGCCACATTGACCGATTCTAATGGCATTTGTTGTGATGGTACATACGAGTTGTCCGATGATTGCGCGGCAAGTGGAGCCGGCTCATAGTCGGCTGCTTCTCGAGCCAACTGAAAAAGTAAAAAGTAAAAATTAAAAACTAAAAGTCAGGCTCATTCAGAAAAGTATAGCACATGAATTCTATTTTTTGAATTTTTGATCAAACCAACTTTTGCAGCCAGAGCCCTTGAGTAACCCCTCGCTGTAGCTGTCTCGATAAATTGTGTCGTTTGTCTTGTGTCATAGGTGGGCGGATATTGAAGGGAATCCTCTGTATCGTACATATCAACACCATAAACTCGACGACGCTGTGATGATGGATAAGCGACAGGCCAGAGACGATCCTCTCCATCGTAGCGACTGAAATAAAGGAAAGATTTTCGACTAACCAAGGAACGGTCAGATTTCGCAAGCGCGAATCCAAACCAAAGCTATTTGACTTACGCAAGTCGTCTATTTGACTATTTGACTTACGCAAGTCGACACCGGCAACACGATGGCGTTTTTAGTTTTTGCCCAAATGCTCTAGATTTCTGTAAAAACGCATTTGAAATTTGAAGCCCTAGTGCACTGAGCGGCCGCAGGGTGTATAACGGCTGCCTTTGTGAGCTGGAGGAGGAGCTGGAGCTGGAGGAGCGTAGTGGCTCGGTCGGACAGTGGTAGTGCCCCTGGTTTACGCTTTTTCCAGTCTGGTTCGACCCCATGCGTCATTGCTTTTGCGATTTTTTGTTCTCACCTTTCCACTCTCTTTCGTTTAACTAAAAATGGCTCTTATTATTCTCATTGTTATTTTGAGTCATCTGAATCGAGACTTTGAAGAGTTTTCAACAGGAACTTTTTATCTAAACTTGCTTTTACAAGGCCATTACCAGTCGGTGGAAACCATTGAGTCAAAATTCAGATGACAACTTCTGGCAAGAGTCACATTTCTAACAGTAAATCCGATGATGATCAAGGGAATGTTATTTGAACGAAAGAGAGTGGAAACATGAGAACAAAAAATAGTAAAAACAATGACGCATGGGGGTCGAAACCGACTGGGAAAAGCGTAAACCAGCGGCACTACCACTGTCCCATCGAGCCACTACGCTGCTCTGATAAAGGCAGCTGTTATACACTAGGCATCAGTGCACCAGGGCAACAAATTTCAAATGCGTTTTTACAGAAATCTAGAGCATTTGGGCAAAAACTAAAAACGCCATCGTGTTGCCGGTGTCGACTTGCGTAAGTCAAATAGTCAAATAGACGACTTGCGTAAGTCAAATAGCTTTGGTTTGGATTCGCGCTTGCAAAATCTGACCGTTCCTTGGTTAGTCGAAAATGTTTCGTTTATTAGGCAGCTTTTAGGCGAATTTCAATCCGCTTTGAAGCAAATCCGAACGGGAATTCTTGTCTTGATCGCGAATCCGATTGGTTCGGATTGGCGCTTGCGAAATCTGGCCCTTCCCTAGTAAGTTAAAGGACTCTCGTGAGCTTTTATGCACAAAATTTATTTTGTGCCATTATTGCACAAAAAAGTGTTTAGTTGTTGAATACAACTCACCTTTGGTATCTTCTCCTTGGCGCAAGCGGGTAATCATAATCGTACGAATCTTCATACTCATATTGCCGGCGATATAAAGGTCGACGGGTTTGATGTCTGAAAGTTACTCGTTTATCTTATTGCCTCAAAAATTCTATAGCAAATTCCAGCAAATTCGGATTTCCAATGCAAATTACACAAACTGTGTTAGCACAAGTTTTACGGGATTTACAGAATTGCAAAAACGAACTACAAAAACGAACTACACAAACGAATTAAGAACTAAGAGCTACAAAAACGAATTAACGCGGAATATAGCTGGAGCAATTTCCGGGATGAGATCCGGGATAAGATCAACAAGTTTCCTAATCTTTTTTCAACCCCCACCTTCTCCTATTTCTTCCCACTCGGCGATACCGTCGGCGACTCGTCGAATAGCTGAAAAGTGATTGCGAAAACTTGATCCCGATCAAATCTTCTCTTACTCATTGCTTTCATCATCTTCATATGCCGGTGTCGAGGACATTCGTCTTCTCACTCTCGATTTCACCCGGATATAGCCATCTTCTAGAAAATAAGCAAGTTTCCGGCATGTGCAATTGCAACTTACCACTAGACGATCCAGTGCAAGGCATTCGATAAACGGTGATCAGGTATTGGACTCTGAAAAGTTATCTGTTTACTTGCAATAGTCTAATCTTGGCTATTCACTTTCGAATATCGTATTTTCCATAATAGTAGTGCACCCCGGCGAGCCGAGTTGGTCACTATTTTACGGTTTCAAAGTTTTCACAGAAACTCAACACTCTAATCCCTCACTAGATCTCATCGTCAGCTACATTTTTCGACCCCACATCGATAGGTTCTGATAAGCGGTTCTCGAGATTTCGAGCAATTTAGACGGCGCTCTGGGTGCACTACTATTAGAGAGAATACGGTATTCTGTATTTTCTCTAATTTCAGTGCCCTCTCCCCCTCCCTCCGGTCAAGCCGAGTTTGATGCCTATTCTACGGTTTCCAAGCTTTTGCAGAAGCTCAACACTCAAATCCCCCACAAGATCTCATCGTCAGCTACATTTTCCGACCCCACATCGATAGGTTCTGATAAGCGGTTCTCGAGATTTCCAGCAATTTAGGCGACTAGGGAAAATACGGTCTTCTCCCCTTTGAGCTATTTTCTGTCACTGACCGGTTTTCCTAACAGGAATCCTAGGAAAAGAAAAAGTTACGCAAGAACACGTGAGCACTCTCACAAAAAACTTCCCATTTGAGTACAATTAGGCTAACCCGGGTGTGCTTTTGAGTTAAATCAATTGTTCAGCAAACGAGAATCTTTCATGGGCTCAAAGAGTTCTCAGGCTTTTCGTACCAAAGATTGGGAGTAGATCAGGATTGGTTCTTGTAGATTCGGATTGGTTCTTACTATCGTAAAAAAAAAGCTAAGCATCAATAGCTTACTTGTTCTCTGAAGTGACGGTTTTCCGGATCTCTTTCACAACATCGAAAGCGGACGGTGTCGAATCGGTCTGTAAAGGTTATCGGTCGGTTAAATCGTGGCTTTGATTTGCTAAATAGGTAGCTCAGGGATTTTCTCCCAGTTGGATTTGGTTCCTATCTGATGTCTAGGGTAAACTACGATTGAATGCCAATGGTGGTGATGTAGGCAGCTCAAGATGAAAAGATGGTGTTTGAGATGAAAGAACTCTTTGGATACGGCCCTGATACGGCCCTGGTACGGCCCTGATACGGCCCTGGTACGGCCCTGGTACGGCCCTGGTACGGCCTAGATTTCATTTCAAAACTGTTTGAGCCTCTTCTACGGGATTCATTTAGAGAAATGCACTATCTGGAAGAATCTGGAAGATCAAGACTCTAATTCCAGAAACAGCAATCTAAAAGAGGAATTGACAAAGGATGGGGCCCTGATTAGGCCCTGATATGACCATGATACGGCCCTTGATGTCATTTGAATGTTCAGCTCAACTTCAAGCACTTTCCGATTCCAGGAAGCCTATTTTGGTGTTAAAAGACAAAAGCTAAAGAATGAAAAGTTAGGCAGGGAGACAAATTTTCATAAAAATTTTACCAAGCCGTTTTCATTCTACGTCCATTGTAAGAATTTTAGCTAAAACAAGAATTCCCGTTCGAATTTGCTTCAAAGCGGATTGAAATTTGCCTAAAAGCTAAATATTGGGTTGGGGACTATGACTCGGCGCCGAAAATGAAAAAAATGTCTAAAACTTCTATTCGACTTCGTCAAATAATATGCGTTTGATATGAGTAGAATGGTTAACTAATTCTCTACAAAATGACATTTAAAAGAAAATTCAAACAGCGCCTCCGCTCAAGAAAAAGCCATTTTTTTCACAAAAACTACAAACTGTGATCTAGAAAAAACCATTGGTGGGATCTTCCTGCAAATTTGGCAACTTAAGTAATTCAATGTGCTCTATCTTTTTTATATAAACACCAAAGAAGGTTTATGTGAAAGAAACTGTTCAAATGATGAGTCGGACTCTTTGCCATTTTAACCAGCTGCGTTTCGAAGTTCATAAACTCCACGAAAGAAAAGCTTTGTGGAATCTCTCAAAAGTGATTTTGTAGAGAAATAGTGGATCCTTTTGATGAAACCAAACGTATGTTTAAAGAAGGCTTTATGTGTGCAAAAAGTCCCTTTAAAGTTTGGCGCCGAGTCATAGTCCCCAACCCAATAAAATAGTTAATCTTTATTATTTAAAGCAAACCACACGTTGAGCGGCTAATTATCTACTATATTTAAAGGACTAAGACGTCTGTCTGCCTGTCTGTCTGTATCGGCTAGAGATAAGTGCGCTCGCACTGCGCCATCGAGTGGCCGAATGGTTAACGCGTGCGTCTCTCAAGCGAATGGGGAGAATGGTCGCGGGTTCGACTCCTCTCGTTGCCAATTCTTTTGCTTTTTACTCCAAAATTTTTTGGAGCAAAAAGCAGAGCAGCAGCAAAGGTCCTGGTTCATTTATAAATGAAGATTTCAAAAAGGCGGACAAGACTTGCCGGCCAAAGCAATATTAAGCTGTCCAGAATGTTCGGCTTTTCATTTCTTTTTGTACTTCCGCTTAAAACCAACAAATGTATTCTTTGAACTACGGTTTGTTTCATTAGAAAGGTCAACCAAATAACAAAATGACATTCAAATAACATTCAAATAACATCCGCAAAATAGCATTAAAACGGCTTTCAAATTTCTTATGTCTGGATCTTATTTGTCTGATCTTATGTCAAGTTCTTTTATTCATTTCGCAGAAAGTTCTCGATAACTTTGTACTAGTTTTCAAGAGGAGATGCAGAGCTATCAAATGACTAGAATAGTTTAGTTTATTTTTGAATTTTCACCAATTTATCAGGAAAACCGTTCACCACTACAAGTCCGCCCAAAATATCGTCGTCGCGAAGAGCGAAGTACTATTCTAAGCAATTTTAATCCTATGCATGATGTAGATCCAATATTTTCAAAAGACTCCTCATTCCTGTGCCATTTTTCCATGCCAATTCCACTCTAATAGCCGGTATAGCGATGCGATTCATGAACTACGAATAGATTTTTCCCCCACCTGTACCACTCCTCCAGTATATCCATCATTGGCCTCCAAGAGGACATCTTTATAGCGAGATCCAGCTCGGAGCCCATCGTAGGAACAACATTGTGTTTTCAGGCTGAATTTATTCTGTTACAGGAGAATCGATACAATAGTTATGAAATTGTGAGCTTTCACCAAACCCTTACATTTTATGCGTTCCATTGTTGATCTCGATGAGTCCACCAGTCCACTCGTCATCGCGGAGACAAACCTTTTCGAGGTATTTCGATGAGCATTTCTGGAATAGTTTTTTGATCATTTTTTCGATCATTTAAGATATTTAGTTAAAGTTTTTATTTTTGTTTATCTCAGAGAACTCTTTCAAATCAATAGCCCATTGCAGAGGTCGTAAATTTGCCTAATCCTCCTCCTTTTTCACTTTCTGATTCCAGTTTCCTAGTTTATGACATGGATTTTCGGGATTCGAGTGAGTGCAAAAAGGCTTGCAAGAGAATTTGAACAGTGAGGACTACTTTCTGATAGAAAAAAGACGTTTAAAGAAAAAGGGGAAAGGGGGAAAAGGCGTTCCGGCGAGAAACGGGTGAGAAAACACTGACTTTTTGCACTCATTCCACCATTCGCATTGAGGTGGTGAGATTGAGAGAATGAACGTGAAAACATTTACAGCGTTTCAGTGGAATGTTTGGCTTGGCTTGGGTATATAAAACTGCAGTACGAAATACATATAAATGCCGTTCAAAGTTCAAAGCTAAACAAATTTAGAACAAACAAATTTGCGTTAAAGCCCCCACAAGATTTGCATTTCAAAAACAGAAAAAAGAACCATTGCATTACTTGCGATATATCTTAAATTTACATACAAGTTTGCTTATTTGTTCAGGCTAAACCATTGCAAATCCTTTTCTTTGTCTATTTTCATTTGTAAAATGTTCAAAGCCTTCTCAAAAAGACGATATTGATGAATTTGAGCCTTTACGAAGACTTGGAACATTTTCATTCGGCGACAATTCGGGGTTGATTCAGATCCGATTCAGATCCGATTCAGGGCCGATTCAGGGCCAACTCGGGGCCGATTCGGGGTCAATCCGGACCTTCAAACTGTTGCTCTCTTTTCTATAAGATTCCTGAGTCGCTTGATTGTTTAATATATCAATAATGTAGTCTAAAATGTAAAGCCGCTATCAAAAAGACTATATTGATGGATTTGAGCCTCTACGAAGACTTGAAACATTTTCATCCGGGGCTAATTTAGGGCCAATTCAGGGCCAATTCGGGATCTTTCAACTGTACATCTCTTTTCTATAAGTAATCTTGAATCATTTGATTGTTTAGTATATCAATAATGTAGTCTTTTTTTTAATGGTAGAATTTGAAACCATTTTGTGGGACTTTAACGCAAATGTACTCAGTTTTTTTGTTGATTTGTTGGACTCCTACAAACCGCTAATAGCTCGAGATTCCTTTTGGACTTCAAAATCAATTTTGCTCAAAAAGTACAGATACTAGATGCAAATTGCAAATCTTCCGAAGTAGCTTATACCTTAAAGTATAAGGTAGTAAATACCTTAAAGTATCATAGACAGCTGTTTACTGTGAAGTACTGTATATTGTAAAGTACTGTATGCGTGTATGCGTAAAGTACCGTATAAACAAAGTGTTGAATATCGTAAAGTACCAAATGAACCAAAGTCTTTAGCCTTTGGTTTACCGTAACCCAAAGAAGATCAACAATCTCTAGGTTTATGAAAGTCCAGTTGATCATCACCAGCCGGTTTTGCAAAACTTGTTGTTAAGGGGAAAGACGGTGACACATTCACTTTCATTTCTTATGAGGTTTGGTATTGGAGTGGGTGAAGGGGGAGCACTTACAGCCTCCCTGTAGTCCTCCCTTTGACCCCCCTTCTATCCCTTTCCCTCCTTTCCTCATAAGGTCCGATTAGCACGGGGAAATCTCCATCCATCGGAGAATCAGTCTTTGCCCCTTTTCTCTTTAAAATGTCCTTCATTTTCTCCTTTCCAGTTTTCGTATTTTCCCCGTGAGAAAGCGAAAGGGTCATCGGCTACTCTTGGAGAGTGAAAGAATGAGGAATGAGATAAAGGAATTTTGGTAAAATTCTAGTAAAATTCTAGTAAAGTTCTGGTAAATATTCTGGTAATATTCTGGTAAATGTTCTGGTAAAATTCTGGTAAAATTCTGGTAAATATTCTGGTGAATATTCTGGTGAATATTCTGGTAAATATTCTGGTGAATATTCAGGTAAATATTCAGGTAAATATTCAGGTGAAATTCTGGTGAATATTCTGGTAAAATTCTGGTAAAATTCTGGTAAACATTCTGGTAAACATTCTGGTAAACATTCTGGTAAAATTCTGGTAGACCTTCTGGTGAGTATTCTGGTAATATTCTGGTAATATTCTGGTAAGATTCTGGTAAAATTCTGGTAAATATTCTGGTAAACTTCTGGTAAAATTCTGGTAAAATTCTAGTAAAATTCTGGTAAATATTCTGGTAAATATTCTGGTAAAATTCTGGTAAACATTCTGGTAAACATTCTGGTAGACCTTCTGGTAATATTCTGGTAACATTCTGGTAAATACTCTGGGAAATATTCTGGGAAATATTCTGGTAAAATTCTGGTGAATATTCTGGTAAATATTCTGGCAAGCATTCTGGTAAAATTCTGGTAAAATTCTGGTGAATATTCTCGTAAAATTCTGGTGAATATTCTGGTGAAATCCTAGTAAAATTCTGGTAAATATTCTGGTAAATATTCTGGTAAAATTCTAGTAAAATTCTGGTAATATTCTGGTAAAAAAAATAGAATTCTATAGAATTCTAGTCCTTTTTCTGACTAGTTTGTCTGCTTTATAGAAATATTAGAGTTAAGATTAACAGTTCTAGAATGAGCGACAGTTCAATTTCAAGTCAATTCCTACAACCTAACTTGACCTTTTTTACACATTTAGATCAATGATGTTATTAACAGTGAATGATTAAATAGAATAGCCTTTTACTGTACTCAGCTCAGTGAAAAACTGCAGCTTTAAGATGTACCAATATTAAGAGAAAGCTATTCGATTTTACTGAGATTTTCAGTTAACTAATTCCAACTGAAAAGTCTTATATTCACTCACCGCACTTTGTGCACCCTTTGACGGAAATTCGGCACATTGCGGGTTATCACAGAAGATTTCTAAATGAAAAATTTGATGAACCAAAAGTCTAGAAGACTTTGAAAAGTATTCATTTTCTAAAGTTGATTCAGTTTAGTTAGCTAAGCTTTAAAAATTTAGTTCATTTAGTTTTCTAAAACTCATTAGACTAGCATGGACATAATCCTTAACATAACGGGTATTTTCTTCTCTTCCTTCCTTCCTTCCTTCCTTCCTTTCTTTCTCTTCCTTGTCTTTCCTATTTCTTCTTGGGGAAAGAAAGCGCCGATTCAGTGCGTCGATAGCTCAGAGCATTGTAAGTATGCCCAGTAAGTAGCCGGCTTAAATTCCCTTCAGTTCCAAATTCTTTGCCATTCATTTCTTTACTTTATTATGTTAAGAATTATGTTGATGCTAGTCTAACGGTCTAACGGTGACACAAAGCAAACCCGGCCGTCCATTCCGATCGACGAAAATTTTATACGGAACACCTAACGGTCCACACGATCCGCCTTCATGTGTGATCTCCGAAATGACCAAAGAGATTATAAAGAGAAATACAATCTCTCGAGGTCTCATCTGAAAGTTTTAGAGTGATTGTGGTGAAAATTGAAAAGCAATAAAGATGAAAATACAGCTCAAGAGAAGATAGGAAAAGTACTCTTTATAAAATCTTTAGATCTGAGAAAACTAAGCACACTCGACACAGATTTAAACTGAAAATTCTCAAAAAGTTGGCAGAACTAGCAAATCTAGATCTAGAAGTTCTTAGATATTCTAGAAGTTCTTATATAAAATGTAGTTTATTTGATTCTTATACAATGTTTATTTGAGTTACCGGCGAAAAGAAAAGCTAAAAGCTAGATCAAGAACTTGAATCATAGAGTTGCAAAATAAAAGACAATGAGTCGAAGAGAGCTTGACGACAATGAGATTATCTGAAGTGATATTGTCTCAAGTTGATCCTCACAATAACTCAAGATCATTCAATGATCTGAGATTGAGAAAAGAAAGGGGCGGAGGGCTAGAGAGGGGGCGGAGCTCTCCTCCTCTTCCCCTCTCTCCCTTTCTACAACCGGCTCAATTTACCGTAATTTCTCCTCTTTTCTAATGGAAATCTTTTGAGCGCTCGAGCTTTTCTCTTTTTTAAAAAAAAGAGTGTTCAGCAAACTCAGCAAAAAGCCACTCGAAAGCTTTGAAATCGTACTGGTCGATTTGGAACACACCAATATTCAAAAAAATAAGTTTTTAAGAAAACTCATAGAAAGAAAGGGCGCTATAGTGTGAGTTTACAGTTAAAATTAATCATAAAATGACTAAAAAGTCTGCTGTTAATGAAAGAGATTGGCCAAAAACTGATTAAAGAAAACCCTTGGTTTTGATTTTCAACTTTATAACATTCTACGGCTATGGCTGTTTGGCTGGACCAAATGAGCTTAAAACATTTGCAAGAGATGTAATTTTGGGTCCTCTTTCCGAATCCGACATTAGTTTTATTAGAAAGTTGTGTGATATTTGGTAAAAAGCTGAAAAACCAGGTGTTGTTGCATGATGTTGGATCGGATTCCATCGCCGAGTAGTCTAAGACTCTTTGTTGGCCTAAATTTAAGACCAGATTCGGATTCCAGCGTCTTCTCAGCCATTTCTGGCAAATTTCTGGGATTTGGTTATTTATCTTGATTTCTGGTTCAAAGCGGGCGTTTCATGAAAGATGTTAAGTGTGTTAAGTACGTGTTTAATGTTAAGTACGTGTTTTCAAATCTCACGTACATTGACTTGTTGGTGAATCAAAAGGAAAACCCGTTGCACCGTTCGGTAAGGCAATTGGTGTGAAAAAAAGAGCAAATGCAGAAGAAGCGGCGAAGAAAGAAGCAACATTTGAGTGGTCAACAGGCAATAAGGGGCCGGTTCGGATAACTGAATGACGGAGGGGAATGGTTAGGGGGAGTTCTTGAAGGGAAAAGAGCCAGAAATACACAAAAGAGGCAACAAGACAACATAGATTAATCTTCCCTCTCATGCACTTCTGTTCTCATTTCTGAGCGATGACCGTTGCCAATTGAGCCGCAAGAGCTGGTTTTCTTCGCTCAAAAAGTATTGAATGCTCTCGAGTAATTTGTGGAGAATAAGAAGGATTGCATAATATTAACAATGGGTAATCAAGGTCTCCATTAGCATGATTTTGCACACATTTAGCAACTATTGGGTTGGTGAATTGAAAACTAACAGTTTGATATGTGAAAACTGACAGTTTGACATGTCATATGTGACAGTTTGAGCACTTTCTTCAAAAGAAACCCATTTTGGTGTTAATAGAAAAGTTGTAGAGAATCAAATATCAAGCTTATATCCGAATTTTCAGAACGATACAAAAACTGGTTTTCAAGAAGTGCCAAATTTACAAATTTTCACAAAACTTGCAACAAAACTTGCATTTTAAGCTAAACTACTAAGTGTATCTTTTTGGAAATTTGGATATAAGCCTAATTTTTGATTCTCTACAACCTTTCTGTTGACACCAAAATGGGTTTCTTTTGAGGAAAGTGCTCAAACTGGGATCTCCAGTCTCCATCTCCAGTCCTCCATTTTCGAGTCTCACACTTGTCTCACACACAAACCAAAATCCTACCACGAAAGAGGAATCCGCAAATTGCCTGTAAAATGGGCAGAAGTCGTCAATAATAATGGAAATTATTTGGAATGAATTCATGGTTTTATTTTCAATAAATTCTAGTTCAAAATCCCGCAGTTTTCAATTCACCAACCCAATAGTTCTAAGGAATTGTTTCAGTAACATTTACTAAGCTAGTTATTTAATCTTTTTAGCATTTTCTGCCAGTAAAGTATAGGTTTTTTGTTTTTAAAGCAGTTTAAAGTCTCAGTACTTATTCTTTTTTTCTAAATACAAAGAAGAACATTGAGAATGTTATGTAATTCTACTTCAGAAAGAAACAAAAGACGAATAGAAATCGCACAAAGTGAACATACTTTTTCTAGATATAATGGGCTTTGACCGGTCTCCTCTTCATAATGATTTAGAGGGGAATTCCCAGTTCGTCATTGAGAGAGAATGCATAAAAAAGAAGAGGGTTTCAAAAACGAAAATCGCTTCGAAAGAAAACCCGTCAAGACTCAATACCATTATTTTCATTTGCGAGCGAATGGATGAGAAGAAATGAGGCGAGTTTTGAAGAGGAATCCGAGCAATTAGTGAGGCCTTGACATTGAGAGGGAAAGATGGCCTGTTTTCAAGAATTGCTATCGCAAATGCTATCACAAATGCTATCAGAAATTTTGAATCAACTTTTCAATAACTCTGACTAAAAGAGACACATTTTTCTCAAATTGTTACTTGAATATTTTTCTGGGATACTGAATGGATGAGAAAGAAATGAGAAGAAACCGTATTGGAACCGTATTAGATCATATAGCATAGAGAAACCATATAGCAAAAAAAATGACCGGAAAAAGATTGGTAAACTTAATAAAATGAATATCTCCAATAGATTTCACAATTCTGAAAACCCCTGGGTACAAATTTACAGCTGAATATCTTTTCGTACCATCAACATTGCAACAGAATAATGACTGGCGAGGTGTTCTTTGTTCGGCCATGCAATCGCTCTTGATCTGACACACGTCGCCGATAGATAGCTGCTCTCTTTCGCATTTGCAGCTAGCAACCCGACGAAATCTCTCACTTTCCCCAACGTCTGTAAGTCTCGTCGAAAATCGCTTTCACGGAATTCCGCCTTCATGCTGGGGACAATGATTACAGCATTGCTCATGTTTGGTTACCTCATTGTAAAGTTTTGACCATCTATCTTTTTCTTTGTTAATTTTTCGTTTTTTTTTCACAATTTTAGAACAATTTTGCTTTAAATTTGACTGCATTTTTACTAAAAATGCAAACCTGATATCTGATAGATTTTTGGTAAACCGATTTACTTTGATCATTTCTATAAAACTTAAAAAAATTATACAGGATGCCCCAAATCTAGAGTTCGGCAAACAAAACTAAAACCAAAACAGACCAAAACCAAAACCAAAACCAAAACCAAAACCAAAACAAAACCAAAACTCAATTTGCATATAAATTAAAATGTAAATTTTGTAAAATGCAAATTTTAATGTTTTAATTTAATGTTTAATTTTAAATTGTAAAATGCAAATTTTAAGTTGTAAAATGCAAATTTTAAATTGTAAAATGCAAATTTTAATGTAAAATGCAAATTTACCTTTCACTTTTTCTCACTCCCCAAAATCTCGCGGCCGAAAAAAGGACCAAAACACGACCTCGAAATTTCGAAACAAAAAATAGCATATGGGATAGATTTTTGGACACTGATTTCAAATCTGCAATCAGATTTTCGCTAGCTCCTCCCAATCGCGAGATATTGGCGAGTTTTGGTTAGTTTTGGTTTTGGTTTTGGTTTGTTTTGGTTTTGTTTTGGTTTTGGTTTTGTTATGGTTTTGGTTTTGGTGGGTTTGGTTTTGGTTAAGTTTTGTTTTCCGAAGTCTACCCAAATCACCCAAACCTACCTCCGTTTGTCGCGCTCTAACGCGCTTTTGGGTTGACTATCTTTGCTACTTTTTCTTTATTATAGAAATTTTGACTTTCAAAAATGTTATTTACTTATTAAAATTAATTTTTTCAGGTATGGTGAGCAAATCTACTCATTGAGATTCGATCATCGAGCTTTTTCGGAGGGGAGTCTGGCCAATTGAGATTTCTCGAAGGCAAATGGTAGCAAAACCGGTCATTTCCGAGACAATTCGTCGATATAATGATCTTAGAACAACTTCTGATTGATCGAGCTGGGATCAATCAAAAGTTGAAAGCTATCGTGACAACAAAGAAGAATACCAAGAAGGTTCGCGAAGAGCTCCGATACAGGCCGATGCAATCTCAACGACAAATGGCCAAGAAATTGAAGATTTCTAAGGGATCAATGAGTCGAATTGTGAAAAAACATTTGAACATGAAAGCCTATAAGTTTGCAAAAGCTCAATTTCTCACAATCGATGCCAAAAAGAAGCGCGAAGAGCGATGAAAAGGCCTGATGCTACGATTTAATGGAATCGATCACCGAAGCATCCTTTTACTGACGAGAAGGTGTTCACCATTGAGCAGAGTTTAAACACTCAGAACAACATGATTTATACAAAAAGCCAACCAAACTAAGTGGTTCGACGTGCTGGATGTTCCAAATCCGTCATGGTCTTTGCCGGAATCACTTCTGATGGGAAGACTCCACCAATTTTTGTTCAACAGGGCGTCAAAGTAAACGCAAATAATTATCTGAATATTTTGAAGCAGGAAGTGCTGCCTTGGGCACAAAATCACTTCAGAAACAAAATTTGGTGCTTTCAGCGAGGTGGGGTGCCTGTCCACAAAGCCCGAATTGTCCAGAACTGCTGTGAACGAAACCTCCCGGCTTTCATCAGCTTTAAGCAGTGGCCACCATCAAGCCTCGATTTAAATCCGATGGATTACTCAGTCTGAAGTTTTCTCGAAGCAAAGGCCTGCTCAGCAGCATATTCAAGCATTGAGCACATTGATTCACTGAAAAAATCACTCCAAAAAGCTTGGGCTGAACTTGATGCGTAATCTCTGATGCGTATCTTTTGGCCAGGATCGACGGCTTCCAAAAGCGGCTTAGAGATATTTTCGAGAAGAAATAAACCAAATGGTTGAAAGCAATGTAGAGAATAAATTTGTTGATGTTAATTTCTGTTTTTTTTTCGATGAAAAGGTTTTTAAACCATTAGTTTGATTGGTTCGGGTAATTTTGGGGTACACTGTATGAGCACCTGGCGATAATTTGATTTTAGTGAGAATCACTTTGACACAATACCATTTATTCACTCATCACATCAATTTTCAGGATTTTGCAATGTAAATTTGTACTCAAACAATCAAAAAAATCGATGGGAAATCGAGAAAAATGCACACATTTCGAGACAAAACTTTGGCCTAAATATAAGAAAATATTAAGTTGGCAAGTTATAAACGATCGTTTTTGGGTAATGTTTTTTTCTGGAAAAACGGCTTATCCAATCAAAAAACGGTTTCCTTGATTCAAAAGCCCTATCCTTAATCTACAAAATGGCTTTTTTGAATTTTTGAAAAATCTTTTTTTAGAACTTTTTCAGGTATTTTAATGTAAGAGTTGAAAATCCTGGTTTCTAGCATTCATGAGCTAATATATTTTTGAGTGATTGCATACTCTTTCAAATAAAACGCTTCATCGATTACATAGTTTCCCAACATTTCAGAATAATCCAATCGATCGAACCGTTCTCTTTCTTTTAATCTTTTTTTTAATCTTGCTTAAATTCAAACGAAAATGGATTAAATTAGCACAAAAGTGCATTTTGAGCCTAATTTGAAAATCAACCTTCCGAAGATTGGATTATTGTGAAATTTTGGGAAACTATGTAATCGATAAAGCGTTTTATTTTAAAAAGTATTCAATCACTCAAAAATATATTAGCTCAATATATTAGCTCATGAATGCTAGAAACCAGGATTTTCAACTCTTACATTAAAATGCCTAAAAAAGTTCTAAAATAAAACATTTCTCAAAAATTCAAAAAAGCCATTTTGTAGATTAAGGATAGGGCTTTTGAATGAAGCAAACCGTTTTTTGATCGGATAAGCCGTTTTTTTCAGAAAACAAATTACCCAAAAACGATCGTTTATAACTTGCCAACCTAATACAAAAAGTGAATTGAGCTTTGTAAAAAAAAAAAGAAGAGATCAAGATTTAATCTTCAATCATGCACCATACCCACGTAAAGAAAATGAAAAATTCAAAAGTTATCAATATTATTAACAAGAAAAATTAGCATATTAGCATTAAATACTCAAAATTTGTTCAAGTTTTGTAGAATTGGCGCATTTTATTCCACTTGACCTTGTCTCTGAAAAACAAGATTAGTTTTACAACCTTTTACAAACTTTCTTGTGAATTTTTCTGATTTCACTCCACTCTGAAATCATTTTGTTAACGTTTAAGAAAAAAGTTTTAAATTAACTAGGCGATAGGCTACTTTGTGCCAAATTTTTTGAGCAACTGGCTCATTTGCGCAACTAGATCTTTTGCGCAACTTGCCACAACTTGCCATAACTTTCTTCTAAGTGAGCTAATCTTTATGATTTTGAGGTCATTTTGTTACACTTATTGAGACCTACAAAATGGCACAAAGAGCAGAAAGATTGGCCCACTGAGAAGAAAGTTATTGATCAAAAGAGTCAGAAGGAAGATGGTCATGAACTAGATGAGGGATAACTTTCTTCTAAGCGAGCCAATCTTTATGATTTTGGTGTCATTTTGTTACACTTATTGAGATATACAAAATGACACCAAAAACATAAAGATTGGGTTACTTAGAAGAGAGTTATGGCAAGTTGCGCAAATGATCCTGTTGCGCAAATAAAATCGCGGAAACTAGCCTATCCCTTAGCTAGTTTTCAAAATGCATTCTTTTGTTTTTTTGTTTCTTTTTTATCTCTTCATTGAATTTCCTTGAAAACTCACTTGTATTTGTTGGCGATTGTGGTGAATTTCGTTTTCTTGTACTTGCGCTTTTTCTCTTTCGGTTTCGCGCTCTCAACAGCGCGTTCAACCTGAAACAATGAGTGATTTGAGAAGGGATAATAAACAATAAACAAGTGAAACAATAAAGACATTGGGCCACTGTTTTGTCCGATAAGTCCGGCAGCTAGACTATTGACTATGAGCCCAAGTTTCAATAATTCTAATCAGTAATATTTGAAAAAGATGTCAAAAACGAATCGTCTACTTTGAATTCCTGTAAATGCAAACAAGCTATCATACGGCTCAAAGCCAGAAAGCACGCGTTTATCAAGCACAAAGTACTTTTGCCTCTAATCAGCTAATCAATGTTAACTCCGCCTCTTTTTTCAGTCCGTTTGCCGTTGGCAATCTACGAATTTTGCTCGTACCTTGACCGGGCTTCTTTGAAAAACGTTGAATTTTCTTTCATTCGATAGAAAATTAGATTTCGAGTTTGTCTGCCCCTTCTGCCATTGGCAATCTAACTTTGAACTCAAATATCTCGGCTTTGAGCTGTTTAATTCCAATATTTTTGACTTCATTAGATGCGTCGAATCTTTCTCTTTCGATTGGTGTAAAAACTATTTAAATTGGACAGCTCAACACCAAGAAATTTGAGCTTAAAGTTAGATTGCCAATGGCGAAGGGGCGGGGCATATATGTCTCACAATCCTAGACTTGCCGTGTCATGTTATGAGTCCGGACTCTTGAAAATCTTTGTAGCACCGGTAAAGCCTTTGTTGGTGATTACCTGTTCTTTAGCTTCTTTGTCATATTCGAGATGACCTTGTTTTTGCAATTCTTGAAGCGCTTTCACTTTGGCCATCATCTCTTGAACTTCTGAAATGGGAAATGATTCGCAATTTTCTTTTCCCATCCTTACTTTGTCGTTTCTCCAGCAAATTTTCGATTTCTTCAGGTTTGAGAACCTGTTGAATGACACAGAGAATCGCTTCTTCTCCGTTTTTCTCAGCCACAATTTCGGAAGGCTTTTGTCGGCCTTGATTCACTCTCTAGAATAAAGAAATGCTTTTAGAATTTAATATTTTAAGTTTACCTTCAAGAACTCCAAATATTCCTTATTTTTCCCGTGCATGTGAATGGCTCGATTTGCCGCTAAACGCTCGGCAAGAACCCGGTTGAAACGTTGCGCGCGGATCATTTTTATCTCTAAAAATTAGAGGTTTGCTTTATTTCTGAAACTATGCTTAACTGCTTTATTTCTTTTTTTGAGTATAGAAGATTATTTTGATTCGGTTAAACGTGCGTGTGTTCCTTACCATTTTCCATATCCAATACTGAATCGTGCTCTCCGGAATAGTCCTTGAAAAGTGTTCGACTCATGATCTCCTCCATTTCGTTGTGCAGTTCCTAAAAAAGGAAAACAATGAGTAAGCACGTTATTGTCAAATTTCCAAATATCTTTGGAAATCTTTAAACATCTTTACCTGACAATTGTCAAATTGTGAGATAAAGATGTATACCGGCGACTCCGGATTTGGTTTATTCGGCACAATAGCCACAATTCGACACACACAATGCTCGGCTATATCTTAACTTAACCCACGCCTACATTCTGCACACTAACCGACTGCTCTCTAACCCAAACCCTTATTTGACTTAGATAGCTTGTTCTAACGGTGAAGAGAAGACGAAAACGGTTGGATAGGCTTCTCGTTGGTTGGAGTTGGACCAGTCCCTAGTTAAGGTTAATCTATGACAAAATCTTTTAAAGTTTAACCATGATAAGGTATGGAAACTTGCTGATAGTAAAACACTAAATGTAAAACACTAAATGACTTTCTAAAAGATTTACGAACGATTTAGAAGCTTTACGAACTCTTTGACTTCGCCAACTCTCTTCAAGCTTCTTTTTCGCCGAGTTTTTGGTCTTTTAAGCTTTAGTTTTAAGCTGAATGATTGACTTTTTCAATAATCAGCTCAAAGCATTCGCTCAAAGCTCAAAGCAAAGCAATTAGCAACGAACGCACCAGCTCAAAGTCGACCCTTCCCGGATAATATGCCAACATATCGATTTCGTCTTGTTTCCCCTTGCACGCGTCTTTGCCCGGTTCCGTAAATTGCAAGCGAGCCATTCTCGGCAATCCACCACAAGCCATTGATGAGAGATCACGGCCATGTCCGACAACCTGTAAAGTAAAGGAGACTGTCAAGTTTGTTATAGTTGATTAGGATTCACCTCATAAATGCGATTCCTTTCCTTCTCAGCTTGTCTGATGAGATTCTCGCGTTTCTTTTGAATAATTTGCAAGCGTCGTTCCTATAACAAAAAAAATAATTTTATCTGCTTATTGAAGAACTCTTTCCATACCGTTTTCGTGAGCGCTTTCTTCTTTTTCTTTTTGATCTTCTTTGTTGAAGCCGGGGTTTTCTTCGAGGATTTCGTCTCCGTGTCACTCTCGTCATCACTCGAACCAGAATCGTCCTAAAACTTGATACTCCTTCCTTCTTTCTTTCTTTCTTCTTTTCTTCTTCCTTTCTTCTTTCCCCCTTGGCTTTCCCTCTTTCTCTTGGTGTGTTAGAGTACCGGATAGCTCAGTGGTTAGAGCAATTGTCTGCCAAACTGCCAAAAGCAAGGAAATCAAGGTCGAGGGTTCAATCCCCTGTCCGGCAATCTACCTTTTCTTGCCAATTCCTTTATTTCTTTACTAGCAATCTCAAAGATACCACAAAGCAAATTTTCATCAGAATTGTTTCAAACGAAAATTTTTAAGTACAAGCAAGGCTAGGCTCAGATCAGAAGTCAGATTCTGACTGTTTGACTTTACTCTTTGAAGATTACAGGTACTTTTACGGATAAAGTGCTGTAACATTCAAGTATTGTAATAACTACAAGCTACGGTAAACGAGTCAAAGCTCCTACTAGAAGCTGGAAAAAGTACTTTGTAAACCTATGCATAAACTGTAATGTCTTGGAATCATCTCAAAAGATTATCGGACATTTGATACACGCCCCGCCACTTTTGCCATTGGCAATCTAACTTTGAGCTTAAATATCTCGACTTTGAGCTGTCCAATTTCAATTTCCTTGGTATCATTGGATGCGCCGAGTCTTTCTCTGTTGATTGGTGCAAAAACTATTTAAATTGGACAGCTCAACACCAAGATATTTGAATGCAACTTTGAGCTCAAATATCTTGGTGTTGAGCCATCCAATTTAAATAGTTTTTGTACCAATCGGCAGAGAAAGACTTGGCGTATCTAATGACACCAAAACTGTTTAAATTGGAGAGCCGAATACCAAGAAATTTGAGCTCAAAGTTAGATTGTCGATGGCAATCTCACAAAATCCACAATCTCACAAAGTCCAAACCTCAGACTCTTTCATTCCCTCGGACTCGTCGTCGATTTCAGAGGATTTTCCCTTAAATGTCTCATTTTAAATCAAAAGTTCCCAGACAAACTCTTCTTTTCGCATTTTTCGATTTCATTCTCTGCGTGACAATCTCACGAATTTTCTCCGTCATTTTGCGGCTTTGTTTCTCCAGAAGTTCTTCTTTGAAATCATCACCACTGTCGCTGTTTTCGGCGAAATGAGACTGAAAAAGAAGATTCTTTGATTCTATGACTGTTGATTGATCCAGAAAATCGTCAGTTTCTCAGTTACAATTGAATTCTCAGTTACAATTGAAAGAAAGTCACTCGATTTTATTGAATAAACTCTAAAACGCTTTTCATTAAACTCACCGTTTTCGCCATCTTGGCAGAGTTCGTTTTTCGGTATTTTGTCGGCGGTGAATCGGTCTCTTCATCATCCGATTCATCAAGAACTTTCTTTGGCTTTTTCTGAGGAGTATAGCCATTTGCAAAAGATTTTCCCTGTAATATGAAAGCTTAGAAAACCATTAGACAATCTACAATCTACCAAAATCGGTTGCTCGTCAACTTTTTCACCGCTTGTCGACGGCTCAAACAGATCAGCCGAGCCTTTCGAACCGGAGTCGAATTTGAAGAGCACTTGGTTGAGCTTTTTGTCCTAGAATTGAAAAGTTTAAAGTCAAATTAATAGAAGTGAATTGCTAAGCTGCTATTAGCTTAAAAATTCAATAGCCAGTGCGAGATTTTCCACTAGAAAAGTCCGGCTTTACCGGGTGGCCCAAAAATATCGTGACAAGTTATTTGAATTTTTCATTCTTTATCTAAAAGTAAGACATATTATATTGGTGAATAAGTCTTTTAACACCTTTTATTGGCTAATTTTTCAAAGCTTGTTGAAGAAGCTAACAGCACAAATTTAGTGACGAAATTTAGACTTCGATTTAGACATTTTTTTCTTTCAAAACTTTATATATTCAATCATCTGTCTTATTCAACCATTGTCATTGGATAGAGAATGAAAATTGCTATAAACATTTCGATTTTCGGTCTGAAGGCCGAAGAGCTGAAGAGCTGAAGGTTTTAAATAGAAAATTCGGTGTCAAACTCGACTCGACTCTTCGAGTGGCAAATTTCACTCGAATCGAAACGAATATTGAGCCAATTTTCACAATTGAGCTATCATTTTGTAGCTAAGAATTTCTAGTTTTAACACGTTCGAGACGATTCGGTCCACCGGTGGACGAAGGCCGTCCGGCCCCTGGGACAGTTCGGTCCACCGGTGGACGAAGGCTGTCTGGCCCCTGGGACAGTTCGGTCCACCGGTGGACGAAGGCTGTCTGGCCCCTGGGACAGTTCGGTCCACCGGTGGACGAAATTGTGGTCCGCCGGACAAAACCCCTCCCGCCCCAGAGATAGACGCTTTACCGACTGCGCTATAGAATACCTCTATTGCGCGTATCCCAGTAAAACGGTCATAACTTTTTGGGATAGAGTCTTATCAAAAAATGATGTTGATATGAAATGTTCATCTAGCTGAGCTCCATCCAATAAAACAAAAAATCGTGGAAAACAGACTATTGGAGAAAGAGAAATGCGGCGTTTTGTCTCACGAGCCAAAAAGAGCCGATATCTTTTTGAGGCAGTAATATTTTCAAAGTCTGATTAGAGGTTCGGATTCAGCATGAAATTTTACATATAGGTGTGTTTCGGCGCTAATAGCTTTGCGAGAGCCTCGTCCACTGGGGCAGTAACGCAAAAAAACGCCTCGTCGCGAATGTGTTAAAATAACTAAAATTTATCTAACATTAATGTACATCAAGCACTTATTCCTTTCAAATAGCTTGTCACGATGGGCCACCGATGTAAAGCATGCTATCGTAACCCGACTAGATCTTCATAGCTTGATATTGATGTATTTCTTACAGTAATCTTCATTTGGGCTACTGTAACATTTACTGGCTACGGTAGGCCAGACTTTAAAGCCCTGAGTTGAAAGTTTCAAGCGAAAAAATGAGCCTTTCGAATCCCGTAAAACTCACCAAAGTCATCTTGAAGTCCAGCTGATAATTCTGTGGGACTTTCGGCTTTTCATTCTCCAGATATCGGAAGAGGATCTCATCATAATGCAAATCTCCCTCGAAATCGAGAAGACTTCCAATGAGTGCCCTTCTCGTTTCATCGATTTCTCGATTCTCTTGATTGATCTCTTTTTCTGCTTTTTCCACTTTCCACACGATCGGCTTTTGATTGGTCCCAGTTTGGGGGCCGGCAACGAACACTTGGTTCGTTCGCATCTTCAGCTTCTTGTGCTGAAAAGTAGTTTTGTAACAAAAACATCTGCTGATTCCTTTTTTGCCGTTGGCAATTGAAGTTTTTTTTGTTTTTCTCAGCACAGACCCTTCTATTTTGACTATATTGAGTATCATTCGATGCAAAATGAAATTGCGCGTCGAATGACACCAAAACCAACTCAGAATCTAATATCCATGCAAAGTTATGCGGCAAAAGGTGATAATGTCCAGGGTTTAGGTTTTTAACCAACAATTTTACGTGGATATTACATTTTGAGCTAATTTTGGTATCATTCGATGCGTCATTTTCTTCTGCATCGAAAAGATTAAGTGGGCAGAGCTTAGGTTAAACCCCGCTCATAATAGGCGGGGTTTAGCCTTTTAGCCAATAACTTTGCATGGATATTAGACTTTGAGTTGATTTTAATATCATTCGACGCGCAATTTCATTTAGAATCGATTGATAATCAAAATAGTCAAAATCGAAGGGTTTGTGCTAAGAAAAACACGAAAAAACTTAAATTGCCAACGGCAAAAAAGGACCGACAGATGTTTTTGTTATTGAAAAGGATCCATTTATGAAAGTGCACCATTAATCATTTCCTATTTTGCGCTAAATTCTTTACTTTAGTCTAAACGATAACGTAGCAAGGCTTCTACGGTACGCCAAAAAGGATTAGCAGGCTATTTAACAGGCTTACAGGCTTACAGTTGACAAATTTCTCAAAATTGCTCAAATCCTGCTAAAGCTAGCATTCACTTGCTACAATTTACAATTGCTTTTCAATTTGAGTCCCACCTTGTCGCCCGAGTTGCTCGCAAAAAGAATATCTTGTTCATCATCTCCCGGGTAAACGATCTCTTCACAAACATCACCACTTGTCGTGTGTTTGTAACCGATACCCTGAAATCAAAGTTACTACAAAGTGTCGTAGCTTTTTGAGATCTTTTTGGGATCTTTTTGAGATCTTTTTGAGGCCACAATTTTAGGCTAAATTTTGTTCTTTTTCTCAGAAATATGCCAGACAATAAAACGATTTCTAGGCAAAATTTTGTTTGCTCTCCTTTTTACGAGAACTATTCTTTACCACGACTCCTCTCGGGATCTTCCCAGCATCACTCCATTTCGTTTTCTTTACCATCTCGCTCAATCCACCATCGGATTCACCCTCGTAAATAGCCGTCTAAAAAAATTCAATCAAGTCTATCATATTTTAAAGAATATTTAGCTAAAGTTCTTTTTATTAGCACTTTAGTTTACCAGTTTAGTTTACTACTTTAGTTTACTACTTTAATAATGCTTGTCATCATTGCCTGAATTGTCATCATTGCCATTTACCTGAATCTCCTCTTCTTCGTCATCTTTCACCACGTAGGAGAGAGGAATTCCCGTGAGTGCTTGACCAGCTCGTTGACTGTCTGATAGCAGATGGGCAAAGATCTGAATCGTCTGTATAAAAATCTAATCGAATTTTGGTTAAGTCTAGTTATCTGAATGAAAAATATTAACTATTTGTGAAGACTTTGGACATATCTATTGGGTTGGTGAATTGAAAACCGCGGGCTATTGTCATATGTGACAGCTTGAGCACTTTCTTCAAAAGAAACCCATTTTGGTGTCAATGGAAAAGGTGTAGAGAATCAAAAATCAAGCTTATATCCTAATTTTCAGAAAGATTCAAAAACTGGTTTTCAAGAAATGCCAAATTTAAGAAAGAAATGCCAAATTCTCACAAAACTTGCATTTTAAGCGAAATTACTAGGTGTATCTTTTTGGAAATTTGGCTATAAGCCTAATTTTTGATTCTCTACAACTTTTCTATTAACACCAAAATGGGTTTCTTTTGAAGAAAGTGCTCAAACTGGGACACTGGGACATCTCCAGTCCTCGATTTTTGAGTCTCACACTTGTCTCACACACAAACCAAAATCCTACTACGAAAGAGGAACCCGCAAATTGCCTGTAAAATGGGCAGAAGTTGTCAATAATAATGGAATTATAATAATGGAATATTTGGAATCAATTCATGGTTTTATGTTCCATAAATTTTAGTTCAAAGTCCGGCAGCTTTCAATTCACCAACCCAATAGATCATCAGATTCATTAAATTATTAGCTTTAAGAAATAAACTGATGACTAAATCAGTCGAAAAAGTTATGGGTAAAAAGCGTCGAAAACACTTGGGGGACACTTGGCGGAGGGACTTGGAGGACTTGGGGGGCAGAGGGGGACACTCGAAGTGTATCGTTACTAGTAATCTGAGAGGCATCTGAAAGGCAACACTGCAAGGGTACGAATAGCCTTGTTTGGAAACTTTTGGCACATCCCCATACAGTCCGGACCTTGCCCCTTCTGATTACTATTTATTCCGGACCATGAGTAATGGTCCGGCTTGCGGGAGAACACTTCGATTCGGAAGAAGCAGTCAAAAATTGGCTCCGAAAGTTTTTCATTCAACACATTCAAAGACTTATTCAACACATTCAAAGCCTTTACCTGTCTTCCTGGAAATGGTGCGGGTTTCGTGAGACATTCAAGGACATCAATCGGCTCTTGTTCATCTTTTTTCCATCCATGTAGCACATCTACAGCTCGGAGAACTTTCTCAACACTGAAAAAAGGAATTTCTAGGTTTTTGGTAGAATAAAAAGTACAATTTTCTGCATTATTAGCATTGTTTTGAATCAATCAATCATTAGCATTGAATCAATGAAACCTTTGCTTATTCGAATCATCAATTTTCATCCGAGCAAACGCCGGCCCGATCACCGCACTGCTCCAATGAGGTCGAATGCCGCTAGCTGCCTGAAATTTCATAAATAATCTCAAATTAACAATGTATTAAACTAAATACAAATGGATTAAGAAAGCAAGAGTAAGAAAAACCTTCAAAATGTGGAGATTTCTTTTCCCGCTTGAGTTGTTCTCAACGCTGAATGGCGGCTGTTGATCGATGAAATTTGCATAGGGGATTTTCTAAAGAATGACTTCTAAAGAGTCTAAAGAAAATGTCAATTTTACATGAGATAGCTGTATTGCTTGAATATCTTTTTATTACAGAACTAAATCTTTGAAACCAAACCATTCTCCTGGCGAACATTTCATCGCCACTTTCCCCATCATCCGACGAAAGCAACGAGTCTCGCTCTTCTGGATGAGTCTAAATTTGGAAACATTATTTAAATTCCCTCAACTTTAACTCAAATTTTATTGCTGATTGGTTCTTTTTTCTTTTTTGGTTCTTTCCTTACTGCTGGTTCTTTTTTCCATTATCAAATTTCTATTAGCCACTATTAAGTTAAGCTCACTTCTGGATTCAGCTGAGGAATGACCCCAACTTCTAGGTCATCAAACGAGTCACCACGCGATGCAGTGAGTGAGTTTTGCGGGGAAAGCGTTCGATTCCCGCGTCGACCGTTTCTCTCCTAGATTCTTTAGTTCGCCAATTTCGGAACCTCATCTTTACCTCTCGATTCGCGGTCACCGGTTTCCAATAGTCTCCATTCAGCTCATGACTCGTAATCTCGTTGTGAGCCTGAACAAGAAGGATATCTTATGGTAACTGTGCAGGATCTATGCAGGATCTGTACAGGATCTGTACAGGATCTATGGAGGATCTATGCAGGATCTGTACAGGATCTGTACGGGATCTGTACGGGATCTATTCAGGATCTGTACAGTATCTGTACAGGATCTGTACAGGATCTGTACAGGATCTGTACAGGATCTATTCAGAATCTGTACAGTATCTATGCACTATCTGTACAGTTCCAATTTTCTATATACTTGATCGTTTAATGATACAATTCTCACCCTTTTTGACCCGGTAGAGTCTCTTCTCGTGGCTGTTCTCTCGTCAAAACTCGTTTCAGTCAACGCTCCTCTCTTGATCTCATCACAAGCTGATGTGTCATCTGGAAAGCTTTGTATAACTTTTAAAAACAATTCAAAACAATCAAGACATTAGTACTCAAATGTCGATTGTGCAAGCGCACTTGTATCCATCATTTTTAGAGACTTAACCGATCTGCATACTTTTTCTGACATTCAACAGGAAACATTTAGTTGAATGGTAACAAAATCACAGCGATGCATCATCATTGAAAAGCTAAGGTCTTTGAAAAGCTAAGTTTCGTTTACATCTATGAACAAACAGGACTAATGTCTATAGACGTTGATTTTTCACTCCATCAGATGACTGACCATCTCCATCAGATGCATTCGATTCCCAGCCTGGTCCAACATTGTCCAACAAGTGTGCATACGGATCATCACACTGAAAATTGAGGCTTAAATGTTTTCGACTTTTTCTCACTTCTTCGTTCTCTTCCAAAAACTTTTCCAGCTCCGTACATGCATTTTCAGAAGGTTTTTCTCTTAATGGAGAGCTTTCCGGGTCCAATTTTGGCAAACTTTGATTGGCTGTGGGTGAGGAAAGTGGTGAGGAAAGTGGGGCTTCGGGATTCTGAAATTATTATTGATAAATAGCTTCATCAATCAAGCTTCATCAAAACCTGTTCATCATTTTCCTCACTCCCGTACAGTGACTCTCTCATTTTTCTGCTCATCTTTCTCAATCTTTTTGGTTGTGCCCCATCTTCGTTCTCCTCTTCTCCGTCATCCATTCCGTCTTCTTCCATTTTGCTTGCGTGACTTGCCTAAATGGCAATGAAATGAGCAACAGCAACAGCAAAAACGGCGACACCAACGCCAGATCATAGTGCTTATAATGCTTATAGTGTCACTCAATCAACCCCACAATTATCCTTTAGTTTAAGTGTGGATTAGAAGTAGTCATTTAGAAATACATAGACTAGTCAGTCGATTAGTTTTATACTTTCAAAGTGTTTTATACTCCAGTTGTTTGAATTCTTCCACAAAATTAAAAGATCTGTCTTGTCTTCACTCAGCTGAATATCTTCTAGTTTCGTGGGAGAATTCAAACAAATGAAGCAGCTATGAAAGCTACGAAGCCCCGCAGAAAGAGGTTTCGTAGCTTTCATGCTCCAGTTGTTTGAAGCTGCTCCAGTTGTTTGAAGCTGCTCCAGTTGTTTGAAGCTGCTCCAGTTGTTTGAAGCTGCTCCAGTTGTTTGAAGCTGCTCCAGTTGTTTGAATTCTTCCACAAAATTAAAAGATCTTCAACTAGAATTTAGGGGGACACTTTGAAAGTATAATTAGTACCAATTTTTCGATTTATTTAGGATACTGTAGTTTATATAGTATTTTACAATTGTGCCCTTTTGCAGATCCTTGATTTTTGAATAATGAACTTTTTAGACTACAAGTGTAACGAGTTAAAGGATTTAATATCCCACTTTCTTTAGCACTTGTAGTAATTTTGTTCTGAATATTTAACAGAATGCTGTGCGGTGCTATGATTGTGAGCCACCCTGTACTTTTAGAATGAAGAATAAGCTAACCGATTAAACTTGAAGCTTATTTGATAAGCTAACCGATTAAACAAGCTAATAAGCTAACCGATTAAACAACAGGGAATTTTAAATGCTGTACAGGGTGGCCCACAATTAACAACAGACTGAGATTACTATAACAGGATTTACTAAAGTTTAACGTGAGATGGAGTAACAGTGAATGGAGACATTTCATCAGCCCTAGCTCAAGCAATCCTTTGTTGTTGCTAAGTAGTGCAGTGTTAAGTAAGCTCGTTGTTAAGTATTGTAAAGTGCAGGGTTGCCCGTTAGGATTACTCGACCACCTAGACAACTTTTTTTTATGACCTTCCAAAGTTGATTGATTATGGGATTTTTGAGAGGGATCTTGTTAAAATCTCGTTGAGATTAAATCTATTATGTTAATGAATGAAATTTCACATGCTCTACGCAGTTTAAGTGCAAAAATTCGTGCGAAATGCCACCAAAATTCACTTAATATGGCCACTTGAATGATTTATCCGTGCCTCAACTTTGAAAGGTCATATAAGAAAGTTGAAAGCTTAAATCGATTAGATAATGAACACGATTCAAGGAGACATACTTAAGATTTACCTCCAGAAAAACCAGAACGATTGACTCAATTTTGACCGATCTAGGCTCTCTGAAGTGCGGCGCTATCACCCCTAACGGGCAACCCTACACTTTGCTTTACTTAACAACGAGCTAAAGGATTGCTTGAGCTAGAATTCACTGTTACTCCATCTCATGTCAAACTTTAGCAAATCCTGTTATAGTAATCTCAGTCTGGCTTTTAACACATACACGACAAAGGGATTTTTGTCTTGGCTGAGTATTTGCACGCACCTCGGATCTCCTGCTCGAGTCTCGACTCGTTGCTCTCACCGACGACCTTCTCCTCAATGGGCTCATCATTTCAAGTACAGGCGGTAATTCAATGTCCGTAATCAAATCTCCCACATCTTTTTCATCGATCTCCATGTCATCCTCATCTTCCTCTTCTTCTTCCTCAATCTCCTCAACCGTTCTCCGTCTTTCCGTGATTTTCCCCTTCTTTCCCAGATTTTCATCCAATCTCTGCGATGCTCCCTTTTTCAATCTCAACTTTTGCATTGGTTTCAATTCTTCTTCATAAATTTCTACTTCCGGTGATGGTTCCCATGAGGTTGACGCTCCATCAGCTTTTCTCACTAATTTTAATGGTTTCACTTTGAGTTGAAGGGCCATTGCTTTTCTTTCTTCTACTGGTAGCATCACCGTTTTTACCTCAGCTTTCTCTTTTTTCTTTTTTTTTTCACCGTTTTGAATCGAGTTCTGACGGGAGATTGTCTTTTGATTAACCGGGAATTCATTGAAAGTGTCGGCGAGGATTCGGAGTGAGTTTTGATCATCCTGAAAGTGGAAGGATCAGCACTGAACTTTGGTTTGGTTAATAACTTAATAACTCTTATTTATTTCTGTAAAAATGTTTACTGTAACTTGAGAGGTCTTCAGTCAAAGCTTGAGCTTCAGTCAAAGCTTGAGCTTCAGTCAAAGCTTGAGCTTCAGTCAAAGCTTCTCAAATTATGAGTACAGTGCTTTGGTTAATAGATTCAAAAAGCACTAAAGCCATCGTAAATCGGCTGCCAAATTTACACCATACCAACTCAATTTTGGTCACATTAAATGAAAATACAGTAGAATAGAAAGCGTCTTTTTTTCTTACCTTGACAAATTTGCATCGAATCTCTCTTTGTTTTGCGTCGGTGTTGATCACATAGACTTGATTGTCTCGCTCGATGATGTACCTAGAAATCCACATTGTATTTTAAAAGCCAAAACCATAAGATAGAAGAAATTTCGAATTCTATACCAGAGTGGCTCATAAGGATGTGGCGCATTTCCTGGTGACCATCCACAGCGAACACAAAATGAGATGGGAGAAGAGATGGAGTTCGGACAATCACATGGGATGAACAAACGATCAAATGGACCTAAATATTGAGGCTAAATCGGAGTGCTGCTTACTAGGGAAAGGCACGAACTCAAGGCGAGCTTTTGTCTGGGCTAGACATGGGGAAATCAGGTCGGATCGGATCGGGTCGGGTCAAAAGTTGGCCCGACCCGACCTGAACCGAAAAATTGAATGTTCGGGTTGACCGGTCATGAGCTGACCCGACAAAAGCTGACTCAATGCCATGTTTAGTCTGCCAACCTAGTGCACTTTATAGAACCGGGTATGAGGAATTTGAATCTGAAAACAAAATCTTCCAGACGTGTAAAACCAATCGAAAATTTGCTCGAATTTGCTTTAAAGCAGAACGGATGCTTTAGGGAGCATCTTCCTAGGGGTAAACAGGTACGTTGGTGGCCTAGTGGATAACGCAGTTGGCTTCAAACCCACAGGGTCCGGGTTCGATCCCTGATGAGGCTCTTTGTTTTTCTTTTTCTTTTGGATTTGCATCTAGGTTTTTACAGCTAATTGCATGATGGCGGCTTGCCAAGTTTATGATTTTATTTAAATTGTTATTTACCGTATTTCTTCGAATAGAAGACCGGGTAAAGAGTATCATCGCGTACTCCTGTGTAGCAGCCCTTTTTAAAATTTCTTTTCTGCATAAAGGCTTTTAATCAAGTGCTATAGGGCTGGAAAATGGCTCGAAAATGCGACATGAGCTAACAGATTTTTGAGCCATTTTCCAGCCCTATAGCACTTGATTGAAAGCCTTTATGCAGAAAAGAAATTTTAAAAAGGGCTGCTACGCAGGAGTACGCGATGATACTCTTTACCCGGTCTTCTATTCGAAGAAATACGGCAAGTTGTTATTCAAGTTGATGCAATATGCTTTTTTTAAAGCACAATATGCACAAAATGCTTTTACTTTTTCAATTTAAGTATTTTGTTGTTGATTTTCATTCATTTTACTTTGTCAAATTGCTTTGGTTTTTGAAAAGAGTATTTAGTTTGCATTTAAATGTTGAAGTTTAGTGTAATTTCGCAAAGGACATGTGCAAATTGTGTAAACAATACGATACGATCGGATACGATCGAAGAAATTGAAAGAAAAACCGTAATGCAATGGGCTGCAAAATGCTAGAAGTTGCTCGAAAAGAAAAATAATCTCAAAAGGTTGTGCTAGGGATCGAAGCCTGAACACCTGCGGGTGGAATCCTAACACGCTACCCGCTAGGCCACTGATATCCCTGTTCCTTGCTAGAAAGAAGCGAAGAAAGAAGCTGACAGCCTTTTAAAGCAAAGCGAAAGAATTTTTACAAATTCAAGTCATTTGACAAATTCATTTGTCATTTGACGAAAGTCATTTGACAAATTTCGACTTCGGATTCGGATTCCTCATATCTGATTCTATAAAGTGCGCTAGGTGTCCAGACAAAAGCTCACCTTGGTGCTTTTGTCAAAAGACACAAGTTCGTGCTTTTCCCTAGTTAGTTTAGCCCTTAAACTAACCTATAGTCTCCTTTAAAACAGATGACGATTTTCGCGAGCGAATTGTTGGTGTACTCGGGGTGTCTTCTGGAAAAAGAAATGACGTTTTTGATCTTTTAAGGTAAGCTAATATCTTTCTTAGGGGGTGGGACAAATGCGACCTTTTTTTTGCGCACCAGGACATTTGCACACCTTTTTTTTTGCTGGAAAAGGCCTTAGGAAAGGTCGTAGAGCTTCAAAAATGTTTTCGTAGAAGGGAATCGTATGCGTATATTCCGAATTTCGACAAATCAGACCTCGCTGACACGTCAAATTTGGGCTAAAAGGCAAAAACTACGCAACTTAACGCTTTTCCGCAGTTTTTGCCTTTTAGCCCAAATTTGACGTGTCAGCGAGGTCTGATTTGTCGAAATTCGGAATCTACGCATACGACTTCCTTATATGGATATTTTCGAAGCTCTACGGCCTTGCCTAAGGCCTTTTCCAGCAAAAAAAAGGTGCGCAAATGTCCAGGTGCGCAAAAAAAAGATCGCATTTGTCCCACCCCCTCTTTCTTATCATAATTTAGACGTTTTTAGTTTTTCAATCTTTAGCTTTTCAATTCAAACCATGTCTCTTCTCTTTCATCATCGGTTTGACGAATTGAAAATCGTCGTCAACGTTGATTTGTGGGGATGGTTGACCGGGTGATGAGGTGGAAACTGGAGAAAAGGTGATGAAAAATTGATCGAATCAACTCGATCAACAACTTGATCAAAGATTTTCTCTTGCTGCACTGTTAGTTAGTCAACTTCAAAACTCATTTCTCACAAAGTACTTGTGATTTTGAGAGGATTCAGTTAACGAATTAATATTTTTGTGAACGCATTCCAAATTCAAAGCTTTACCTCCAGATGTTCGTCTCCGTCGCGGCGAATCATCGTCTTTTCCGACTTTTCCCAACTCCACTTTAGCTCGAGCTCTCTTTGAGGTGCTCTAAATTGATTTCAAAACAATTTCTCTTTCTGATATTTCAAAGGCAAAGATATTTCAAAGACAAAGCTTTCTTTTAAGGTTTTCTCTTTTTCCCACCGGTGGTGGAGACTCGGATTCCTCAACGATTGACCGTCTCGAGCTTCGATCACGAAGACCACTCCGTTTCTCACTCTGAAATGGGGAATTTGATATCAAAGCTTGATAAATCTCTTCTAAGTCTCTTCTAAGCTCTTCACAAAACGTACACTTTTCGTTTTCGATTGTCTCGTGGATCTTCGCGGAGAGAAGCTCTCACTGTCATCCGATGGCTCGTGGCCGACATCGATAGACAATTCCTAAAGGAAACTTGCTGTGTGTTTTAACCCAAATGTTGAAAGCTAAAGCTAAATTGCGACTCTTTTTATGCGTCTTTTTATGCGTCTTTTATGCGTCGGATTACTGTAATTATGTCTTTATAAGGTCATTCTCCGCTTTTTCGTCATTTTTCCTTACTTTAAAATTCCACTGAACCCGTTTTGCTAAAGTTTTCGTTTGTTTTGAACACTTTCAAGTCAATACTTTCAATTGTATTGATTCCGATCATATTCAGATCAAGTTTGAAACAAAAACAAAAACAAAAACGACAATTTTAGCATCAATAACAAGGGTTGGACTTTTATCCGTTATCCGTTTATCCGCTCTTCGTTTTATTCGCTTTTTGGTGGATAACGGATATGCTACATTTGACTCCTCAGCTCGGTATCAATCCGATGGATGAGGTCACTACCAAGCCGCTTTTAAAAGTCGCCCGACAATTCACTCTCCTTGATGATACAATTATTGATGACCGCGAGGTCAAACAACACAGCACAAAAAGCCAAGCGATGATTGAAGAATATGAAGCTACACTCAACACCAGGCAGGCCAAGCCAAGTTCTTGGTCAACGAAGGATTTTGGTAATCGTTTGTTGATCAAGAATCAAGAACAAGAACTTAGCGTGGAAGCGGTATTTTCGTTTATCTATAGCTGATTTTAGGGTTCGGAAGTGCGAAATTTTTTCTCTGATGGGTTCCTGAAATCGAGTCAACTTTGGGCTTTCGAATGGCACTAAGATCAGCTCAATTCACCAGCTTTACACTGAAATCTAACGTTTTTGTCAAGGTTTGTAGTCTTCTTCTATGGAACGAGACTAACTGCTATAAACTGCTAAAAATAGTACGTTCAGAGATTGCGAATTGAGCTGATCTTTGTGTCATTCAAAAAGCCCGAAGTTGGCTCGATGTTTTGGTAAAAAGCGTTTATAAAAATAGCCAAAAATAGCCATAAAAATCTTATAAAAACACGTTTTTATAAGAGTTTATAGTCTGATCGACGAACCTCTTTGATGGTGATTGACTTGCTCGGTTGTCGCTGCTCAACCTTTGGCTGTTCTGTTGCCATCAAATTCCCAATCATTGTCTTCATTTTTAACTATAAAAATCAATTGAATATGCAATTTTTTTTCATCGTTATCACTCAGAAAAACTGAATTTGAATCTGAATTTGAAAAAAAGCATCAAAATCACAAAGAAAGTACCTTTTTTTTCCCATCAATCTTCTCCGCTTCGAACTCCAAACGTTTCTTTTGAAGAAATCTAGAAAAAAAGTTATTAAAGATACTGTAGAGTACTGTACTGTACTGTAGAGTACTGTACTGTAGAGTACTAGAATTCTAGTTTTTATCCGACTACAGTAATCCTAAAAAGTACTCAGTCAATAGGACACTTGAACACTCTGAAAGAACCAAGATTGAATCACTTGGTTCTTTCAAAACCAAGGTTCTTTCAAAGCCAAGGTTCTTTCAAGACCGAGGTTCTTTCAAGGCCAAGGTTCTTTCTAGACCAAGGTTCTTTCAAAACCAAGTGATTCAATCTCGAACACCCAACCAATAGCTGGCTATAACAAGACAGAATAATAGGATTTACAGAAAATTGTAGCTTACAAGAAAACTCATATTTGACTTTTGTAGCTTTTGTCTAGCTTTTGATTTCAAGACTTACATGAACAAATTCCTGATCACCGCTTGTACATTAAACGGATCGAACTCCTCGGAGCTTTCCATCCAAGAACGAACGATCACTAAAGCGATTGTTGAATTGACTCAAATCTGGCGAATCTGTTCAAAGCATAGAAAGTGACAATTGTAGTAGCTGTCCCTTGCAATTATTTAATTATTTGGCAATTAAACATTAATTGTCAGACCAGATTGATTCAGAAAAAGACCAAAAAGAGATGGATTCGAAAAGAAATGGATTCGAAAACTAGGACTCAACTCGGATCAAGAATACAGTTAACTTTGGGGCAAAGTTTGTCCCCAAAGATGAAGATTTTGGCATAGTGGCTGTTCTACCAACTGGTAGAACTGTTTGCTGTTTGCTGTGGCTGCTGTTTGGGTAGGATAATGGTTTGGCGGGATGCAGAATTTGTAGCCAAATATAAGTCAACAAAATTTCTCCCAAGGATTTCTCCCAAGGAACGAAGCGAGAAAAAAAGAACGACGAGTCACCTTTTTGTTCTTTCCACTTCAAAAGAGAAGCACTTTATACTAGAGGAGTATGCCAGATGGAGAGCGATTACCGCACAAAGAACACCTCGCCAGTCATTTACATACGGATTCTTCTTTTGCTTTGTTATGACATTCAAAAAAGATATTCAGCTGTAAATTTGTAGGGTTTTCGGGGTCAAAAAATCGATTGAAAACATTAATTTTCTTAAATCTACTGTCTACTAATCTATTGAATTTAAGTTTATTGAGTTTTATTGAGTCTTCATTGGTCAAAGAGCAGCGAATTGAGGGAACAATTCGATCTGGCTTTTTCTCTTGATTTTCTTCGGATTTTTTGGTCCAATCAGGTTCTATTTTATATCATTTTGAAGGCTGAAATGTCTTTCTTAAAGCTAGTTAAAAGTTTACAATAAATCATCTCTAGAAAAGTCTTCAAATTATTATCGTAAATACTCTAATAGAACGCCACTCCAATAATGACGGGCGTACAGTGGCGTAGTCTAACTTTGAACGTCCCATTCTCTCCCATTAAGCTACAGAATTCGTTATCATTCTTTTAATTGATCACAACTACCAACGGTAAATACTGTAATTGAACGGCATCCCCATAATGACGGGGTATTGCCGCGTAGTCTAACTTTGAACGTTCCATTCTCCGCGCTGCTTTAAGCTACGGATTTCGTTTCGGTGTCAAATGATAGCCCTTGAAATCTAGTATTTTTTGATACCAAAAGTTTAATTGGGAAAACTCTGGGGATTGAGATTTTCTAAAAAGAAGTTAGACTACGTGGCTGTACGTGGAGGTGGCGTTCTATTCGAGTATTTAGGGTAGTTGAAAAGACGGTTTTTAACAAGATCCACTCAAAAGCTCACCTTGAAACTTTAGCGAATCACTAATGAAATCGAAATGTGTCCACCAACGGGAATCCTCAACACAAATCACTCGCATTCTGAAAGGAAATGTTTTTCCAATGAAATTTATCAAATTCCATTCAAATTCCCATTTAAAGTTCTTTTGTTTGATTGAATATCTTTCAATTGCACTCACAATTCCACAAAGTCTCTCGCGAATTGTCCGATTTGTCCACGAATGAAGTATTTGTCGAAATGATCAGCTAAAGCTTGCGGGACACCAGTGAAACCGATTTGCTCGCCGAGAAATGGCCTAAATTTAAAGTTTAAAGGCTTAGGCTCAGACTTAGGCTTAGGCTTAGGCTTAGGCTTAGGCTCAGGCTCAGGTTTAGGCTCAGGCTTAGGCTTAGGCTCAGGCTTAGGCTCAGGGTCAGGCCCAGGCTTAGGCTTAGGCTTAGGCTTAGGCTCAGGCTTAGGCTTAGGCTTAGGCTCAGGCTCAGGCTTAGGCTTAGGCTTAGGCTCAAGCTTAGGCTCAGGCTTAGGCTTAGGCTTAGGCTTAGGCTTAGGCTCAGGCTCAGGCTCAGGCTCAGGCTTAGGCTTAGGCTTAGGAACTGGAAACTTAAACTTTACTACTTAAATTTGATAGATTTGATGGGTTTAATGATAAATTTGATGAATTAACATTTTCTTATCAATTTCTTTAAAGCGCTTACCAGTTAGCCGCCTTTGTCAGCCGGGTGCTCACCACCAGGCTCATATCATCCTCGAATCCCCAATTGCCCAGCTTTTTGTCAATCTAAACAAAAGTTTCACCAATTGACCTACGGTTTTCTTCAAATAGGAGACGTTTAGCTTTCATCGTTTAGTATTTTCTATAATTTCAAGCTAATTTGGGTCCATTGCCAAGCAAATTCAAGTACAAAAACTCGTTTTTCGTAAAATTCGATAAAAAACACTCTACAAAGAAATCGGTAAAGCAGATTGTTCTGAAAATTTAGCCATAAATTTAAAATTCTGGGCTCTTTCTTTTTTCTATTCACATAAAGATAGATTTCTTTGAACAAAAGTGTCTAAATCGTGTAATCAAGTCGTTTTTTGACTGGCAGAGTTCAAATCTGCGAATAAAAAACCAGAAACAAAAGATTTCTTTAGATTTCAACGATCTTTTATAGGAAAATATTAAGCCTTTCTAATGGAGAAAAGCGTAGATCAATTGGTGAATTGATTACTTCTAAATAGCCCATTAAAATGAAGATCTAAAGATCTTCTAGATCTTCTGGATCTTCTAGATCTTTTAGATCTTCTAGAGCTTCTAGAACTTCTAGATCTTCTAGATCTTCTATAATCTTCTAGATCTTCTGGATCTTCTAGATCTTCTGGTTCTTCTAGATCTTCTAGATCTAAAGATCTTCTAGATCTAAAGATCTTCTAGATCTAAAGATCTTCTAGATCTAAAGATCTTCTAGATCTAAAGATCTTCTAGATCTAAAGATCTTCTAGACCTAAAGATCTTCTAGAATCTTCTAGATCTTCTAGATCTTCTAGATCTAGATCGGTAAATCTAATATAAATCAGAAAAATTTGATTAGTTATTGAATTGTTTTGATGTTTTTTGCACTTTATTGCTTACTTTGACAATCTCTCTTGTTTTCTGCTTGTGCACTCGATAATTGTGCCCTCGTCGATGTTCGCCACCCTCAATGCCATAGGAAAAGCACTGAAATCCGTCACTTTTCGTAAACTCACTTATTTTTTATCCAAGTAAACAGCTTATTCACAAAAATTCTATTGAATTTACTTTGCATTTGTGATTTATGTGAGCAATTTTTGAATAGATACAGGATAATGGAAACTTGAAAACACTAAAATGCTCATTTTTATGTACAGGATTCTCAGCAAATCTCTATGTTATATTAAATATTCATATCTCGACTTCCAATTGATCGATCAACTTGTGGTTGGTTTTAAAATATTCCTTATCAAATTCCGTTATAGAAAACAAATCTCTAGAGGGGAGTAGACATCTGTAGAGGGGAGTAGACATCTCTAGAGGGGAGTAGACATCTCTAGAGGGGAGTAGACATCTCTAGAGGGGAGTAGACATCTCTAGAGGGGAGTAGACATCTCTAGAGGGGAGTAGACATCTCTAGAGGGGAGTAGACATCTCTAGAGGGGAGTAGACATCTCTAGAGGGGAGTAGACATCTCTAGGAGGGGAGTAGACATCTCTAGAGGGGAGTAGACATCTCTAGAGGGGAGTAGACATCTCTAGAGGGGAGTAGACATCTCTAGAGGGGAGTAGACATCTCTAGAGGGGAGTAGACATCTCTAGAGGGGAGTAGACATCTCTAGAGGGGAGTAGACATCTCTAGAGGGGAGTAGACATCTCTAGAGGGGAGTAGACACTTATCTCGACTTTGATCCTAATTTTCTCGATGTTTTTATCGGTAAGTCTCACAAAACAGATTCTATATTTCTTTAATTAAATTTAATGTAGATCCTAATAAAAGTGACCTTGAGTTGATTCAAATTTCAACTTACATCTTGACTTATAGATCATTTAAGTGGATTGATCCTTACGAAATTCCGTTATAGAAATGCATTATTAAATGCAAAATCATGCAAAAAAGCTAATAAATTAGGCAAAGCTTTTGTTTTTTTAAGCAGAGAAAGAGAAGGGATCGCTAATTTGTGAAAGTAAAAGAGTTTGTGAAAACAATTTTGTGAAAACAATTTTGTGAAAACAATTTCCGAAAGACCAACCGTTTTACAGAAACAAATCGGTTGCGAACATTCGGCGCACTCGATGATCGGATCTCCGTCATCGAAGACTCGTAAACAGTACTCGCAAATCGGTGGCGACTCCTCCACCGTGTCGTCCATCTGAAATATTCAAATAAATTTGCATCCTGAATGGATACTTGTAACTTTTATACATAAAATAAGCAATACAATAAACAAAACAATAAAGAATACAATAAAGAATACAATAAAGAATACAATAAACAATACAATAGACAACCAATAGAAACCAATAAACAACCAATAGAAACCAATAAGAAACCAATAAGCAACCAATAAACAATCAACAAACTTATCACCGTTCTTGCAAACGGCTTCAGTTTTAAAATATATCTACAGTTAAACTGGCAAAGTAAATGATAATTTTAGCTTTTAAAAATCACTCAAAACTTTACGAGGTAAAATGTTTCAGTTCAAAAAAAGAAATTCTTAAAGAAGTTCAACAATGGATCACCCGTTTGTTTGAGGTTTTCGGTGCCAGGCTCCAGGCTTTGCGTATTGAGTTACAGTAGGAAAGGGGAAAGGGGAAGGGGGATCGTGATGGGACCAGAAAACGAGAAGAGGCGAGGGAAATTGTATGCATATCAGAGACAAGGCTAAATTCTTCGAGACATTAATGCTCAGATTGCAGTTTACAAGGGAACGGCCCCGGCTTGAAGTTCGAAATGACTTTGAACCTATGCGGATCTTATAGAATCGACCACGGAGATCCGTAAAAAAGACAAGTTTTGCCAAAGACACTGAGATATTCGACTTTAAAGTTTTAGGTCTGTTTTTGGTCTGTTTTTGGTCTGTTTTAGGTCTGTTTAAGGTCCTTTTTAAGGTCTGTTTACAAAAACGAAAGCGTCAATCGGTGGCCGAGAGAAGAATTTGCTCGGGTATCAAGTTTTTGGTTCAAGTTCGATTCCTCTCTACGCCAAACTTGTCATCACATGGATGGGCCATGTGATCGATGATGGCTCACCCGTGGGCCATTCCGTTGTGAATGAAGACGTGAACCATATCTTAGTTTCTATTAGTTGATCTTCAAACTCTGCATTCTCCTAGTCAGATTCGTAAATTACATTTTATTCTATGCATTACTAGGATAGATGAGTTCCATTTAGCTTCAGAAAGCGCTCATTCCGAATCTTACTTTGGAATTCAATTTCAATCAAATGGTAGCTTCAAAACGTTGTGCTTTTGCTCTTTGTTCGAGCTCTTTTTCTGTCTGTTTACATGTTTTTTATTTTTTTTAAAAAAGCAACAAACTTATCAATACTTTCAACGACAAGCCAAATTGTCTATTGGAAAAAAGTGCTTCTATTGTTCTTAAAATTAGACAGCGCTCATGAGGCGCCGGCTACCGCTTTGGCCGAGTACCCATTTAAGACATGACTTCATGATCTCATTGTGTTATGACGTCATTTTTGTCCCCATTAATTCCATCCATCAATTGTATTATCACGACACAAAATTCATTCAAATTTATCAATACTTTATCACGAGACAGAATTCATCACTCAATTATTGGTAGTAGACGCACTCCCAAGAACAAGACCGGTCACCGCATATATAGTCGTAGCGCATGCCATACGCACATTTTTGACCTTCGGGATAACCCTAGAGATTTGTTTGATAATTTACTCAGCTCTTCGTTTAGTAAAAGGTGGTCTAGAAAACGCTACCGTACTCTGGATCGTACTTTTTTTCTCGTTGATCAAACGAGGTTTGACTTTTAGGAAATGAATCTATCGAAAAGACAAACCTTGGGATAGTTGGCTTTCAGATCTTGGGGTTGTTTGGGATACTGAAATGTGATTCTTTATATAGTTAGCCAATTAAATATAATTATCCGCTCTCCAGATGCACATCTTTCACCTTCGGGATTAGCCTACCGTACTCTGGATTGTACCTTTTTCCCTCTTTGCTCAAACGAGGTTTGACTTTTAGGAAATGAATTCATCTAAAAGACAAACCTTGGGATAGTCGGCTTTCACAATTTGGGGTTCTCCGGGATACTGAAATGTGATTCTTTTTATAATTAGCCGATTAAATATAATTATCCGCTCTCCAGATGCACATCTTTCACCTTTGGAATAATCCTAGAGATTTGTTTGGTAATTTACTCAGCTCGTCGTTTAGTAAAAGGTGTTCTAGAAAACACTACCGTACTCTGGATTGTACTTTTCTCTCGTTGATCAAACAAGTTTGACTTTTAGGAAATGAATCTATCGAAAAGTCAAACCTTTGGATAGTTGGCTTTCAGATCTTCGGCTTGTCCGGGATACTGAAATGTGATTCTTATAATACTTATAATTCATATAATTGCCTGTTTAAAAATACGGAATTAGGATATCACTATTCTTTCAGCTAAAATATTCAATCTTGAAGTCTAGATTTTCCGGTGTGGTGTCATAGTGAATCATTTGTACTTTAAAATTTCTTATATTTTTTCACGAAACACCATCACTTGATAGGGATATCATGAGGTTAGGGGTGCCACCATAGTCACCACCATGAGACCATCAATGTGGTGAACTTTTTACTATAAAGTGGCGACTTTCTACTGGCATCGTGGTGTCATACTAGAGGTAATATGTAAACTAAAAGTATTAACCGTAACGTATCGAAAAGACAAACCTTGGGATATTTTGCTTTCAGCTCTTGGGGATATTTGGCATACTGAAATGTGATTCTTCATGTAATTAGCCGATTAAATACTCAACTAGGATATCACTATTCTTTCAGCTAAAATATTCAAAATTGAAGTCTAAATTTTCCTTCTAGCACACTCAAGTCTTCATTTTTTAAAGTTTTACTTAAATTTTAGATCTTTAAATACTCACATGAGCCATCGACAAAGCCAAGAATGAGAAAATGAAAAGAAGGACGGAGAGTTTCATGTTTTGAAAAACAGAATGAAGATTTGGCTATTTGTGGATCTTTTATATTGATACAATACAATTGGTGGGTGAAATTAATGAGTACAAAAATGACATCATGAAATCAACTTAAAAATAGATAGTTTTGATGAGATTCTACACTGGGAGACGTGTGTTTTGAGGCTTGAAAGCTGCTTCGTACTGTCCAATGATACGAAAAAAGATCTGTAAGGAATTAATGAAACTTGACGATCAGAACACCTACTAAGCATATCCTACTAAACATAGCACTCGACGACCATAACATCATGTGGACGTATAGGTTTAGAAATGGTTTTGCCTTGAATGAAATCATATGAACTCTTTTCTATACTTCTAAAATGGAATTCTAGAAACTTCTGGCTGTATTTTAGCTGATACTAATTATTGTACGGATTGAAAGCATTCATAGCATTTATTTTGAGCTACCAGTGTTTCTAGGAAACTATACTAGATCCTACTAAACATTTGAAAGCTGGAAGTTGCTTTATTTTCAATATAGAAGACGCAGCTTTCTAGATTAAAAATAAAGTGAAAAATGAAGCCTTCTATTGTTGTAAATTGAGCAAAAGTCTTATCAGTTAACCAAAAATTTATAATCGATTCAAAAATGCTTGAACGGTCAGTACAAACCGAACTTCTCTGCAAAATGGCTTTCAAGAGGATTGTAGAGAATTGTAGAGCTCGACTTTTTAGATCCTACTTCTTATAAGCGAGTTGTTTGTGTTTGTGGCTGTCTGTTCGACTGTTTTAGAAAAAAACGGCCAAACCAATCAGTCTGAAAATTTGACTATTATATCGGAAATTTCATGTAGTTTCCAAAAATCAAGAATCTGATCAAAATCGATTTTGGTTTAACTTCAAATGCTTTCAAAAATTACTAGAGTTTACTCTATGCTGAAGCATAATTTTTTGATTTAGAAACTACTTTTTTTTCGATAATGCTTCGAAGGCTGGTGACGGTAATACAGCAAACTTTCTGTTGAGTAAAAGGAGACGATTTTTTGCATTTTCACCAAGGAACTTATGTGTAACGGAAAGTCAACAAAACACTTTTGTACAATAAAACAAAACAAAAACAAAACACTTTCATAAAAACAAGTACAAGTCACGAAAAAAAAGACAAATATTAGAAAAGTATTTGCTTTTTAGATTCATTCATTTTCTTGATGTTTTCCACTTTTCATTCACGCTTACTGCAATCCGATGATGAAGAAACGAAAATTGATGGGCTAGTTCGATTTTTGGGGAATACTAGGGTCTTTTTCGTATCATTCGATACCATTTGGATGTCCTCTGAAAAAGATTGTGCAAAGGAAACAAGTGATTAAGTCTGAAGAAGTGTTAGAAGTGCTTGAGAACTAGCCAAGGTATTAGTTTTCTCACACAACACATGATGATTAGTGGAAAGTGATGAGAGAAACTACTGTGGTTAGTCTTTAAAAGTGTTAGTAGTATATTTTTAATCAAAGTACCAAACTTTTTGATACAAGAATGGTATTTAAGACTTAGAAATCAAATTTGAATAAGTTAGACATGATCGTGATTAATTTGTTTCTTATAGAAAACTTTATTTTCTTGATGATGAGCAAGTGCACCGCCAACGCTCCACCAACGACACTAACGGCTGTACCAACCGGACCAGGGAGTGCTCCAGCCACCGCTCCACCGCCCGCACCAGCTGCAATCGAGCCCACCGCCTTAACAAGAAAATTTTGTTTGACTTTCTAAAATAAATTGCTGAGAATTTGTATTCATTTATTGAATTGAAGGCAAGGTTCACATAATTAATATTCTATTATGAATTCACTCAACATCTTTTTAACAGCTTTTTTTAACTTCACCCATTGCTGAGAAACGCTTTCCTCATGACAAAATTCATTACAGATACCGTATTTTTTCTAATAGTAGTGCACCCCGACGAGCCGAGTTGGTGACTATTTTACGGTTTCCAAGCTTTTGTAGAAGCTCAACACTCAAATCCCCCACTAGAACTCATCGTCAGCTACATTTTCCGACCCCACATCGACAGGTTCTGATAAGCGGTTCTCGAGATTTCGAGAAATTTAGGCGACGCTCAGGGTACACTACTATTAGAGAAAATAGGGTAACAGAAAATGGTTCAAAATGTTTCGACTTTCATTTACATCAGCTGTTGCAGAAGCTGAACACTCTAATCCCCTACTTTCTACTTTGCTACTTTCATTTATTTACATCATCTTCAAAAGACACGCAAAAGCTGCAGGACTCAAAGCTGAAATATCAATTGGAGGTTCACTACGACAAGAATTTCATCGTTTAAGTAATCGTACCAGAAGTGGATTTGGTGCCAGAAGTGGATTTGGTTGATGCATGGGATAAAGTAGCTGATCTCGTTGATAATCGCTTCGAAAAAGTGGTCACCTCGTTTGAGACAAACTATATTGGAAACAAGCGACGAACTTTGCGAGATGCACCTACATTCCCTCATTCAACTTGGAATGTTTTTGAGAGAACTCGTATTGGATCCCAGCGTACAAATAACTGTCTAGATGGCACCAATCGAGCATTGAAGGGTTCATTTGGGGAAATTGAGAAAACGTTTACGGTTTTCAAGGTTTTTTGCAGAAGCTCAACACTCAAATCCCCCACAAGATACACCTACAAAGCCTGGATTACGGTCGGCTTACGGTTGGACAGAAGGGCTACAGTCTTCTAAAAGATCCGATTATGGAAGAACTACCGTACTTCAGTCATCTTTTAAAATTTGATCAATAAAACTACCGGCTTTTCTCTAATAGTAGTGCACCCCGGCGAGCCGAGTTTGATGACTATTTTATCGTTTCAAAGTTTTCCAAGAAGCTCAACTCTCAAATCCCCCACTAGATCTCATCGTCAGCTACATTTTCCGACCCCACATCGATAGGTTCTGATAAGCGGTTCTCGAGATTTCGAGCAATTTAGGCGACGCTTATGGTGCACTACTATTAGAGAAAATACGGTAAAATGAATTTACATGATCAAGAATAAAGTGAAAACATGACTTTATATTTTTCTTTTTCGAATAGTTTAGATGAAAAGATTCTGGATTTGTTATAAATTATTATAAAAATAAAAAATTATTAAATTATTATACAATGGTCTTTCACTTTCGACATATTTGCCTTTTGGAATTTTACTTTACTTTGATCTAACTATTGAAAAGCCAACGCCTGGAGATCTGCGACACGTCATGTTCTACGAATTTCTACAAGAACACAAGGGCGTCTAGTGTTCAGCTAATATTGAGAATACCTACATATGTGGAAGGATCAGCTTCACTACGGACTTGTACAAACTAGTTTGTTAAATTTCGTTCTGGGGATAAAGGTTTATAGAGAGACAAAGGGTTTATAGTTAGAAAAGAGTTCATCTGATATCCTCCAAGGCAAAACCATTTCTAAACCTATACATCTACATGCTCTCACTGTGTTCTCATCGTCAAGTTTTATTAATTCTTTGCAGATCTTTTTTCATATCATTGAAAGATAGTTAGAAGCATTTCTGATAGTTAGAAGTTACAAGTTAGAAGCAGCTAAAATACAGCCAGAAGTTTCTCGAATTCCATTTTAGAAGTATAGAAAAGAGTTCATATGATATCATTCAAGGCAAAACCATTTCTAAACCTATACGTCTACATGATGTCATGGTCGTCAAGTGCTATGATCTGTGTTCTGATCGTCAAGTTTCATTAATTTCCTTTCTTTTGTATCATTGGACAGTAGGAAGCAGTTTTGAAGCCTCAAAACCCACGTTCTCCAGTGTAGAATCTCATCAAAACTATCTATTTTTAAGTTGATTTCATGATGTCATTGTGCTATGATATCATTTTTGTACTCATTAATTCCACCCACCAATTGTATTGTGTCAATATAAAAGATCCGCAAATAGCCAAATCTTCATTCTGTTTTTTCAAAACATGAAGCTCTCCGTCCTTCTTTTCATTTTCGCATTCTTGGCTTTGTCGATGGCTCATGTGAGTGTTTAAAGATCTAAAATTTAATTAAAGCTTTGAAAAATGAAGACTTGAGTGTGCTAGAAGGAAAATTTAGACTTCAAGATTGAATATTTTAGCTGAAAGAATAGTGATATCCTAATTCAGTATTTAATCGGCTAATTATATGAAGAATCACATTTCAGTATGCCAAATATCCCCAAGAGCTGAAAGCCAAATATCCCAAGGTTTGTCTTTTCGATACGTTACGGTTAATACTTTTAGTTTACATATTACCTCTAATATGACACCACGATGCCAGTAGAAAGTCGCCACTTTATAGTAAAAAGTTTAGCACATTGATGGTCTCATGGTGGTGACTATGGTGGCACCCCTAACCTCATGATATCCCTATCAAGTGATGGTGTTTCGTGAAAAAATATAAGAAATTTTAAAGTACAAATGATTCACTATGACACCACACCGGAAAATCTAGACTTCAAGATTGAATATTTTAGCTGAAGGAATAGTGATATCCTAGTTCCGTATTTTTAACCAGGCAATTATATGAATTATAAGAATCATATGTCAGTATCCCGAACAACCCCAAGATCTGAAAGCCAACTATCCCAAGGTTTGTCTTTTCGATAGATTCATTTCCTAAGAGTTAAACCTCGTTTGATCAACAAGAGTAAAAAGTAAAATCCAGAGTACGGTAGGGTTATCCCAAAGGTCAAAGATGTGCATTTGGAGAGCGGCTAATTATATTTGATCGGCTAATTATATAAATAATCACATTTCAGTATCCCGGAGAGCCCCAAATTCTGAAAGCCAACTATCCCAAGGTTTGTCTTTTCGATAGATTCATTTCCTAAAAGTCAAACCTCGTTTGATCAACGAGAGAAAAGTATGATCCGGTAGCTTTTTCTAAGCCACCTTTCAATAAACGAAGAGCTGAGTAAATTATCAAACAAATCTCTAGGGTTATCCCGAAGGTCAAAAATGTGCATATGGCATGCGCTACGACTATATATGCGGTGACCGGTCTTGTTCTTGGGAGTGCGTCTACTACCAATAATTGAGTGATGAATTCTGTCTCGTGATAAAGTATTGATAAATTTTGAATGAATTTTGTGCCGTGATAATACAATTGATGGATGGAATTAAAGGGGATAAAAATGATGTCATAACACAATGAGATCATGAAGTCATGTCTTAAATGGGTACTCGGCCAAAGCGGTAGCGGGCGCCTCATGAACGCTGTCTAATTTTAAGATCAAATCTGAGCATGAACCATAGAAGCACTTTTTTCCCAATATACAATTTGGCTTGTCGTTGATTGGGCCAAGCTACTTTCTAGATCTACTTTGAAAGTACTATCAGAATAAAACAACTGATGGCAAGTTTTGATTGAAACGTTGAAAAAATAAAACTATGCTATCACTAACAAATCATAGACAAAGTTATCCTCTTTTCTGGAATGATCGAGATCAAGTGATCCCCCTTTTCTGACAGGGCGTTTCGGACGTTTCCCAGCTAAATTTTCTTAAAACTTGATTCCATATAATAAAAATAGTTAAGTTTTCTAAAAATTAAGTTTATTATCTTTGCTCTTTTGTCAATCGAAATTTATGGCGCTTCTTTTTAAAAGTAACAGAACTTTCCCGCAATCATGTAGATCTTCTTTCTTTTTTTAGTGATTTACAAGGTTTACAAGGTAGAGAAGGTGGGTTTACAAATGCTATTTGTACTGATTTAAAAAGTCAAAGAGCAAATTCTAGTGTAATCTTGCACAAAAACACGTACAATGAAAGCGTACAACGGTAAAAACTAGACTTTTTCCTTCCGAGTAAGTAGTTTACTCGAGTTAAACTTGCATGAGCAATTTTTACTCGATTAATCGACGGTTTTTGCTCGAGTAACTACGAGTAATCCTATTTACATGTCAAGTCAATTGAATAGCTTTACATTTGAAGAGAATTCGCAACCAAATCAGTTAAACGGCTGAATATCCTTAAAAGGAATCGTATATAAGCTGACACTCGTGATTTTTTCACGCCAATTTTTTGCAATAATTTTCGCCAAAACGACGATAATTTTTCCCAAGTATGCCTTTTTTAAAAACGTATTACTCACGAGGAACACACTCTAGTAAAAGCTACGATAAGAATAGATCATAAAGTTTTATATCATAGTACTGTCCATCTTGGAAACTCTTTGTTTCTTTTTTTTTGCTGAATAATCCTTTTTTCAGATCTGGCGGTGTCCTCTTGGAGACTCCATGTCCTGATCGTCGGACGAGAAGTTACAACTTGAAAGCCCTCAACGGACAACACAATTTCCCCGTTTGAAGTCGAATCTATCATGTTTAATCTATCTATCATCATACCCTCCAAACACAGCCCATCTGGGGCACCAATTTTATCACCAAAACCTGTAAGAATATATAGAAAAATTGCGTCAAATTTGACTTGCAGAAGTTGATCAACTTTGACGGTTTATAACTCGAGGTACAAACATTGGATCGACTTGTGGTTGGTTTTAAAAGAATCCTCATCAAATTTGACTAGAGAAAAGAGTGCAATTTATTTTGTACACTCACCTATAAAAACGTAGAGAAAAAAATAATAATAACTAAAAGTAAGGTAATTTTTTCAAAGTGTTCACTTTAAAAAAAGGCATTACTCACGAGAAACACACTCTAATCCTAAATGTTCAATTCAATTTCGAATTGTTGATGAGATGAACGAGTTGAAATGGATTTGGATAATGATCTGGATAAGGTGCTTGCCGCTGCGGTAGATAGGGTTGATTGTATGTGTGATCTGTGATGTGTGTCCGCAAATGATCGCCAGTTTTTGGGCTATATCTTGATTGTTGCTTTGCGAACGGGTTTAATTCCTTTTTAAGAGGGAAATTTGCAAAAATTTTTTACGGAGATTATAGTGTACAAATTGTAGGATGCTTTTTGAGATTTTTGATTGAAAGGCTTGTGGAAGGTGTGGGGCAAACATCATGGACCCATAGAATCCTTGGAAACAACTCTCCTCTAGTACAAGAGACGCTCGTATGGGTCGATTTCCAGTTCATTTCCAGTTCATTTCCAGTCCATTTCCAGTCGATATCCATCTTTTGGCCACTCCAAACTCTCGCTTCCTAACTCGCTATCAAACTCGCATCTGAATGAGCTTGATTTCGGAGATTTTAAAAGGCTTTCACTAACCTTTACATGCTTTTATCAGTGCTGTCGAAATGTTTTGATCGATCGATCGATTTGAATGACAAAATGTCAATTAAAATCAATCATAAAACGAAGAATTCTGGAAGATTTTCGCGATCATCCACCGTTTTTTGTCAAACAATTCACCAAAGATGTAGATTTTCGTGATTTTCGCCGAGATTTCCTTTTCAAAACATCGAACTTCTGTTGATAATTGAAAGAAATCCTTCATAACAGAAAAAAGCATCAATTTGAGCGTTTCTTGTACTAGAGGAGAGTTGTTTCCAAGAATCCTCAATTTCTCGTTTTCTGTTTTCATCTCTAAATTCACCAAGTGAGAGCCATTGGTTCGGATTCCAACGAGAGATTTTGAGAAATCGCCGCCTTGAAAGAGTCGCTCCATCACCACATCGAAATCCCGATTTGAGAGATCATCGAATAGAAAAACTGGGAAAGTCGATCGTTTCAAACAATCGAGAAATGAGAGATTTGAATGGGTTATCCAGAAAAATGGACAGTTTTCGAAAAGTTTTGATGTCTCAAAAAGTTCCGACAATTCGTCGATTTTCTCCTTTTCCCTACAATGACAGCTATTTATTCGAACCGATTGACAAACGGAAAATCGCAGATTTCTCAGTGTCAAGCGCCAGAAATGGAAATCGGCACAAAAGGCGAATTTCTCGACATAGCTGAGTAGTGGAAAGAATTTCTGTTGGTCGAATAATCTCCGGAATTCCTCAGTTGCTTTTTGTTGAGGAGCATAAAGATTGAAATCGATTTCCCGGCAGAATCCGACAATTTCCAGCAATTTCCAGAGGCTTTCTCGGAATTGATTCGATAATTCAAAATGAAAATTGTCGGCGAAATTATGGATATTTATTTGATTCTTCATAAAGAAAAGCCTTGTCTGATCACCAGAGATCAAATCGATCAACAAACAAAGATCGACGGCAACAAATTCAATTCGAAAGACGATTTTGTGAAGTTTCTTCAGAAATGGCCCATTGAATAGAACGAAATAACGAAGAGATTTGCTTGTTCGGAGAAATTTGAGCATTTCGGAGACGTCGACATGGCTGAGGATTAGATTTTGCAGCTCTTTGGGGAGAATCGACGGGTTGAAGGGCATTCTATGAAGGCTGAATGGACGAATGGTCACAAATCGATTTGCGATTTCTCTTGTTTGCTTTTTCTCAGTTCTCTTATCTGTCAAATGTTTGCACAAAGGGAAAACTAGCTCGTTGACTTCGGGTAATAAAGCGATAAACAATGATGAGTGTGAGAGAAATCCGGTCATTCTCACCTTCACCTCATCGAAAAGGCGCTCTCATTCCCGTGGATATTCGAGATTTTCACTGAAATCACTTCAATTTCACTGAAATACCGCCTAAAGCCTCAAATCCATGAATGACGTCCACGTAGAATTGGGCTAAAGCACTTACCGTAAATACTGTAATTGGACCCCACCCCTCTAATAGTACCCCACCTCTCTAATAGTACCCCACCCTAGAGGGGAGGGAAAAAATAATACCCCACCCCTCTAATAGTACCACACCTCTCTAATAGTACCCCACCTCTCTAATAGTACCCCACCCCTCTAATAGTACCCCACCCTAGAAGGGGAGGGAAAAAATAATACCCCACCCCTCTAATAGTACCCCACCCCTCTAATAATACCACACCTCTCTAATAGTACCCCACCCCTCTAATAGTACCCCACCCTAGAAGGGGAGGGAAAAAATAATACCCCACCCCTCTAATAGTACCACACCTCTCTAATAGTACCACACCTCTCTAATAGTACCCCACCCCTCTAATAGTACCCCACCCTAGAAGGGGAGGGAAAAAATAATACCCCACCCCTCTAATAGTACCACACCCCTCTAATAGTACCACACCTCTCTAATAGTACCCCACCCCTCTAATAGTACCCCACCCTAGAAGGGGAGGGAAAAATAATACCCCACCCCTCTAATAGTACCCACCTCTCTAATAGTACCACACCTCTCTAATAGTACCCCACCCCTCTAATAGTACCCCACCCTAGAAGGGGAGGGAAAAATAATACCCCACCCCTCTAATAGTACCCCACCCCTCTAATAATACCACACCTCTAATAGTACCCCACCCCTCTAATAGTACCCCACCCTAGAAGGGGAGGGAAAAAATAATACCCCACCCCTCTAATAGTACCCCACCCCTCTAATAATACCACACCTCTCTAATAGTACCCCACCCCTCTAATAGTACCCCACCCTAGAAGGGGAGGGAAAAAATAATACCCCACCCCTCTAATAGTACCCCACCCCTCTAATAGTACCCCACCCCTCTAATAGTACCCCACCTCTCTAATAGTACCCCACCCCTCTAATAGTACCCCACCCCTCTAATAGTACCCCACCCCCACCTAACGCGTAATTACAAACAACGTTTTTAAAGCGGAAAATTTTCATGTATTTTCAGAAATCGTTTGTATTTTTAAATTTATTCCATAATTTAAATTACCGAAGACAAGCGAATTACCGAAGACATGATTCGAAAATCATTTAAGGCTTGTGGGATCGGCATTGCCTTAAATGGAGATGAGGATGATTTGATTAATTGTTTCAAGCCGGATGGACCGATTCCTTCAGGAGTGCAGGTTCGATTTATTAATTTAATTATCTTTGTAATTATCGATTTAATCGATTCAATTATCTTTAATCTGTTGTACTTACATGCGATGAGAAATGCTCGGACAGAGACGGAAATCGAGGACCTCTTGGAGCCGCTCGCATCGACGGGATTTCAAGGACATCGAGGAATTGATGATCAAGAAAATGATGAATTCATTGATTCGGATGTTTCTATTGATTTTGCTTGTTAGTTGTTTTTGTTTTTTGCTGTTAAATTTTTAAATGGTTAAAACCTATAAAAACTAAAGAAAAAGTTTGTTTTTGAACAAATTATTTGAATGTATCCTGATTTGGTAACTTGAATAGTGGTGTAAAATAGTAACCCACCCTCTAATAGTGCCCCACCTTCTAATAGTACCCCACCCTAGAGGGGGAGGGAAAAAATAGTACCCCATGGGGTCCAATTACAGTATTTACGGTATCAACTTAGCACTTACAAAAAACCTGTGCAAAATTCGTATTTTTTTCAATCATGTCTAATGTCGTAACGCCGCTTTAATAGAAAGACTGTATTAACAGTAGAAGGCAAAGAGATTGAAATAAATCTTCATAACGAGCCTCCTAGTTGCCGGAAAGAATGGAAAACAGAAAGAGTCTTAAAACTTGCTCGCCCGTTTATTTTCGTCTCTTTTTACTGCGAGAAAGTTCTTTATTAGGTTGGTCGTTTGAAAAATCGAAGATCCGGGTCTTCGATTGAAATTTTTACGGTATTTATTACGAAAATCAAGAAGAAAGGGCTTTCATTTAAAAAGAGTGGTTTTAACACTTTAAAGTTTGACCTCTTCTACTTCATAGATTCATCTAAAGTCTGAAAGATTTCACCTGCTCATCAGAATCAATAAAAAACGAGCTTTTTCGAGAAAACTTTGAGAAAAACCCTCGACTTTATCGACAAAACAAAACTTCACTGAGAAATGTCCGAATCCGATAAACCAACGCTTTATATTCTGTCGATGGATCTAAGCTTTCTTCTCGGCTGCGTCGTCAATTTCTATACGATTTATGCGATCGTTTTCCTCTCGCCGAAAGCGATGGCCACATATAAATACCTTCTTTTGTGGTATCAAGTCGGTTTTTTTTGTTGTAAAAGGTTTAAAAGTGAAAAGTTTCTTCAAAGTACATGTTAGAAAGTCACTCCTTTTGTGCGTCATAGCCTTTTTTGCTTTTTGCCTTTTTTCCCCTTAATATGGCCTTTTCCCTTAATATTGCCTTTTCCCTTAATATGGCCTTTTCCCTTAATATGGCCTTTTTCCTTAATATGGCCTTTTTCCTCAGTATTGCCTTTTCCCTTAATATTGCCTTTTCCCTTAATATTGCCTTTTCCCTTAATATTGCCTTTTCCCTTAATATGGCCTTTTCCCTTAATATGGCCTTTTCCCTTAATATGGCCTTTTCCCTTAATATTGCCTTTTCCCTTAATATTGCCTTTTCCCTTAATATGGCCTTTTTCCTTAATATTGCCTTTTCCCTTAATTTGCCTTTTCCCTTAATTGGCCTTTTTCCTAATATTGCCTTTTCCCTTAATATTGCCTTTTCCCTTAATATGGCCTTTTTCCTTAATATGGCCTTTTTCCTCAGTATTGCCTTTTCCCTTAATATTGCCTTTTCCCTTAATATTGCTTTTTCCCTTAATATTGCCTTTTTTTACCTCAATATCGCTTCGATTTTGAAATCTTTTGCAGGCAATATGTGCCATTTTTGTCTTACTCGTTTACTTTGGAGATGGAGGATTCATTCGAACCTCAATAACCTCAACAACCTCAATAACCTCAACAACCTCAATAACCTCAATAGCCTCAAAAAAACCTTTTAAATCTCCCAAAAACAAACATCTTCGAAAAGCAAACCCTTTCATGTGCTCTCTGTTCTGCTGGAAATCTACGCGCACGGGACGATTATTGAAATTTTCCCGCCTATCATGGCCGGCAAACAATACGGGATTTTCCATACACAATTCGGATTGAATATTCGCGATTTTGTCGTAAAAATCTCTCGAATCGGCTAAAAATTCGATCTTTTTTCCAGCAAATCATCGCCGCCTTAATGAATTCGATGATTTTGGCCGTTGCGATTTGTTTTTTTTTTCGACATCGACTCCTTTTGCCCGCTGATCACTGGTTTAAGTCGTTTGAATCGAAAAGGGAAAAATAAAACCCGAATTTTCTTTAGTTTCAAGGCGTCGACGTGGATTTTCCTCATCCCCGTGCACTATTTCGTCTATTTAGCCGTCAACTATCTGATCATCGCGAATCTCGGATTGGTGCATTTGGTCGAATCGAAAGAAATGCAACAGCAAATCGTTCAGGTCAAATAGAAAGTTCGATATTTTCGGAAAACTAGGTAATTCGAGGCCAAATTTGCCGAAATTGACCCCAAATTGACTTAGATTTTCCAAATTCACCCCAAATTGACCCAAATTGACCCAAATTGACCTAAATTTTCCAAATTTACCCAAATCTACCCCAAATTCACCCCAAATTTACCCAAATTGACCCCAAATTGACCCCAAATTGACCCAAATCTACCGCAAATTGACCCAAATTGACCCAAATTGACCCAAATCTACCCCAAATTGACCCCATCAACCGATCAAAAACCTAATAACCTTCTCTAATTTCTGACAATCAAATTCGAAATTCCGCGCAAATCCTTTGAATTAGTGAACACTTATGGGAGAAGTATGTAAAATATTAGGTGTGTGAAAAAGTAATCCACGTTTTTAACGTTTAAATATAAAAGACCATAAGTTTCGTTAAAATAATTTTTATTCAACGAAGTAATCACCATTCGAAAGAAAAACCTTTTGCCAACGTTCTACAAGTAAAGACATTCCACGATAATAAAAATCTTGGTCCTTAGAGGCGAAGAAAAGATGAACCTCGGTTTTGACATCTTCTTCGGAATTGAACCGTTTATTGGCCAAAAAGTTAGACAGAGACAAAAATAAATAATAATCAGATGGAGAAAGGTCTGGACTATAAGGTGGATGTGGTAAAACCTCCCATCCAACACTCTAGATTTTTTGTCGAGTCTGGTCGCGCGTTATCATGGAGCAACAGGACACCTTTCCTATTACCAATTTACCAATGATGCGCGTCTCTCAGTGAGTTTTTGTTGGACTGCAACAATCTCGGCACAATAGACATTCGAATTAATCGTTTGGCCACGTGGTAAATAGTCTATGTGCATAATACCACGTGCAGTCCACCAAACTGTCATTAAAATTTTTTTCGGATGGAGGCTTTTTTTGGGCATTGTCCCAGCAGGTTTACCACGTTCCACCCACTGTCCAGACCTTCTAGAATTATCGTATTCAACCCATTTTTCATCACACGTAACAATTCGATCAATAAATGGCTCAAGTTGATGTTTACTAATCAAAGAATTGGCGATTGTAAGGCGCATTGTTTTGTTTTCTTCCCTCAATTCATGCGGTATCCATTTGTCGAACTTTTTGATAAAATTCATGGCATTCAAGCGTTTCCTTACGGTTGGCCCATCACAATTTAATGTAAGGCCTATTTCTGAAGAGGTTGAACGAGCGTTTTCGAGAAGACAGCGTCTTATTTGGCCATCAGATAAAAATAAAAAACGTGGATTACTTTTTCACACACCTAATAACTCCCTAAACTCGATCCGATGTTGATTTTTTAGGATTCGTACAAATTGAGGCTGAGAAATAACTCTCGCGACAGTTCTCTTTAATTTACTTATTTAATGTTTCTTTAGGATTATCCCGAATACACGTATCTATTAAACGATTCGGATGTGTGGCGGCCGGATTATCATCGGAAAATCGTTTTCCCCTTCAACACCACGATGGAAGTGCTCGATGCGGCCAATGTTTACACGACTTTCTTTGGAGTTGAACTCGGAATCGGAGTAGGCATTTGTTCATTAACTAGGCTTGATTCCAAAAGCCCAAACTCTTGGAACGAGACGAAAAAGCGATTGTCCGACAACAGCAAATCGTTCAGGTCAACTAGAAAGTTCGATATTTTTGGAAAATTTATGTAATTCGAGCCCAAGTTTGCCCAAATTGACTCCAAATTGAACCAAATTCACCCAAATTCCCCCAAATTCACCCCAAATTGGAATTGAACTCGGAATCGGAGTAGGTATTTGTTCATTCACTAGGCTTGATTCTAAATATGCTGTTGGAGGAAAGCCTAAACTCTTTGAACGAGACGAAAAAGCGATTGTCCGACGAGTCACCAGCTCTCTTGGACTCTCTTGAAACGATTAGAATAGACAAGAATCTGCCCGTTTGTCGGAAAACTCTTCACAATTCTTCGTTGACCCCTTCTCAAGTGAGAACTGATGAAGCAAGCCCCGAGCCTTACAGAGTAGCACAAGGCTGACCGTGTGTCGTTCGCAAAACGGAATCAACGACTGGGATCAACGACAACGGAATCACAGATTGTGTTGATGCTTGTTTCTTGAAGCGAGAGCTGATGAAGCAGGCTCCGATTCTTATAACGAATCCACTCTTGTGACACATTTTGGATCGACTTGGACAATAAACAATTCCAAACACGCAGTTCAGTTGAATCAGTTGAACTCTGTGAAACGTTTGAGGCCGGCTTGAGGCTCGTTTGAGGCTTTGCCGGAAAACTGTTTGAGTAATTTTGGTTCTAAACTTGATTTGAAATGATTTCCGATCAATTTGATATATTCGATTTATATATATTTGAAGGAATCTCTTGCAGGGCGCACTCGCGATCGTCCATTCGTTCTTTTTGCTTTCCGAACATCGCCATATTCTTAGCGAGAAAACACGAAAGAGCCAAAAGAAACTTCTCGTTGCCTTGATTATTCAGGTTGATAAGAATAATCGAAATTCAAATGACCTAAACGAAATTCTTTCTTTTAGACTTTTATCCCATTTGGTATGGTCGGAATCCCGATAATACTCATCACGATTTTGGCCAATTTAAAGATTCCAGTGCCGCAAGGTGAGTTGTGCCGAAAAGGCAACAAAAAGCCTCATTTCATTTCAACTCGATTGGTTAGATATTCATTTCTAAATGAAACTTTGAAATAAAGGCCCAAGACTTCTGTAACAGCCTAACAGAAAAGCAATAAGCAATAGCGATTTGCATATTTTTTTAAATTCTAACCACGAAGCCAGGATCAGCTCAATTTTCTGTGTCTTAACGGCGTTAAAACTAGGGTTCGGCAAACAAAACCAAAACCAAAACAGACCAAAACCAAACCAAAACCAAAACCAAAACCAAACCAAAACCAAAACCAAAACCAAAACACCAAAACAGACCAAAACCAAAACACCAAAACAAACCAAAACTCAATTTGCATATAAATTAACATGTAAATTTAAAATTGTAAAATGCAAATTTTAATGTAAAATACAAATTTTAATGTAAAACGCAAATTTGCCTTTCACTTTTTCTCACTCCACAAAATCTCGCGGCCGAAAAAAGGACCAAAACACGACCTCGAAATTTCGAAACAAAAAATAGCCTATGGGATAGATTTTTGGATGCTGATTTCAAATCTGCAAACAGATTTTCGCTAGCTCCTCCCAGTCGCGAGATATTGGCGAGTTTTGGTTAGTTTTGGTTTGTTTTGGTTTTGGTTTTGGTTTGTTTTGGTTTTGGTTTTGTTATGGTTTTGGTTTTGGTTAAGTTTTGTTTTGTTTTCCGAAGTCTAGCTAAAACCATTAGTATTAAACGTGCAATCACCACAATTTCATGAAATTAGGCCAAAAATCAGATAAAGTGAGCTTTTTTGAACTTTTGAAGTGGCAGGTTTGAGAGAAATAATATGGTTTTTTTTGATAAAGAAAACCGCAAGATTGGTTGGATATTCATTTTGAAATGAAACTTTGAAACAAAATGATCAAAATGAAAATGGAGACTTATGAAAGAACCTAATAAAAGCACGAGTTTGCATTGAAAAGAAATAAATTCGAAGCCTTGATCAACTTCGGCTCTTTTACGCTCACAATCCACGGGATTCTCGGCTCCGTGATGATATTGGCCTTTGCCGAGCCATATCGAGAGCCAATTGCCCGTCTCATTGCCATTCCTGCGTCGACAGGGACTCGTGAAGTCTCGTATGTATTTTGTCTTGACCTCTATTTACTTCGATATCACTTAGAACTCGAAGAATGACAATCTCGCACATTAATCTCCAGGTGGAACCGGCGAACAGGCAATCAATAAATGATTGAGTCGTCTTTATTTTTTCTTTTTCTTAAGCAATAAAGTTTTCATTGCTAACTCAGAATCGAACTATTAGGTGTGTGAAAAAGTAATCCACGTTTTTTATTTTTATTTTGTTTAAATAAATATATCTAAACAATTTTTAATTTTTTTGTGAACGATATATATATCGTTTAAAAGATTATTTTTTCCTCTTTCGAATGATATATTTATTTTGTTAAAAGGACGACAATAAACTACTTTCATTTTAGTTTGAAAATGGTATACACAAGTATCGTTATTCGGTCAAATTTACTTTATGAGTTCAAAAATGGGTTGAAAGGTGTCGAAATGCTCCCCACAATTTCAGCTTCCAAATGCTTTATCGTAAGTCGAATTTCGATCTGTGTTTTAGCTGAAAAATGGAGCTTCTTAAATGAAGTGTGCGGGAACTTTTTGATCACCCTGTATTTAGTTTTTGATTTGGAAGCGATGAGAAAAGAGGTTGATTTTAACCGTGAAAATGTTCACAGGCAAATTTGTCTCTATATTTCTTGATAACCGGATCCAAAGCCTTAAATAACAAATTGTAAGGAGAGAAAATAGAAAGTTTGATAATAGAGAAACGCACAAACAAAGGACTTTTTCTAAATTTTTACATGATTGCTTGATTTTTGATTGAAGTCGTTGAAAGAATTTTTATTCTATTTTAGGTAGTTGCTTAAAGGTCACAAAATTTCTGTTCCAAAGGCGCTTTTTCCTCAGCGAATCGACTGACGCTGGTGGCGAGTCGACGCCTTTTGAAGCGGGCATCTTGCAGACGAAACGAGCAGACGTGTCTTCGGCGATGGTCGCCACCCACTCGTGATCGTCACACGACTTGTCGTTGCCCGTCTGTCAAAACACAGAATAGTTAAATTCAGTTAAATTCAGTTCAATAGCAGTTATTGAGACGATTCACTCCATTTAGAAAACAAGAGTTTTTGAAAACTTTCAAAACTTTTTTGGGGGTTACTTTCAGCTTCCGGTTTGGCTTGAAATGAAATAAAATGAAACGATTTAAAAGAAGTACGCTTGTTACACGAATAAGAAGTGCGTTTGTTGCGATATGGTGCACACAAAGTTTGGTTCGAATCGAAAATTACCCGAAAGTTTTGCCCCATTTCAACTGACAAGGGAAAGGCAACAGTAGGATGTGGTCAAATGAGGTAAACCATAGACCATTCGACGCAGAATTTCACGCTGATTCTGAATCTGTTTTCCGTTTTTGCACTGGCTTTCTAGAAAAAGTTGCGTGCGTGTTTTAAGTGTTAAAACATGCGTGTTTTAAGTTTTACGGTGAAAGTGCGAAAACTTAGGGATAGAGATGCCTTTTTAACAAAAATAGGGATGCCTTTATAACAAAAATAGGGATGCCTTTATTCTCTTCTCACGGATCTCATACGTGACCTGATGGTATAGTGGATAGGAAGCTTGCATACGAAAGGAGCGCTCTATTTTTGTTAAAAAGGCATCTCTATCCCTAAGTTTTCGCACTTTCACCGTAAAACTTTAAAACACGCATGTTTTAACACTTAAAACACGCACGCAACTTTTTCTAGAAAGCCATTTTGCCAAAAACGGAAAAGCAGATTGGGAATCAGCGTGAAATTTTGCGTCGAATGGTCTATGGTTTACCTCATTTGACCAGACCCTACGGTTGCCTTTCCCTTGTGAAGTCTACCCTTTAGCCCCGACCCACCAGCCAAAATCCCTCGTATGACCATTTGTCATAAGGAAAGTAGTCAACCGGCGACCCGTCCGTCCAATTGCCTTTTTTCACTTTTCCGATCCCGTAGTATCCGATCCAGGCCCATTGATATTCGCACGAATGGTTCCCCGGAGCCGCAATCGAACGATTTCCGACATTCGTTTCGACCAGATCTGAGATTTGATAGAACCATAACACATAAAATAAATGAAATTCTGTAATAACTGCATATAAAACAGCCGCTCTTTTCAAAATCGCAAATTTCCTCGTCTACATAAACAAAAATAGGCAACCATCACTTGCAAAAACAAAAAAAAAACAGGCAACACTTGCAAAAACTGGCAACACTTGCACAAATCGAGTCAATGCTCTAGTTATTCGGACGGACAACAACACCGCACAGTACCGTAGATGAAATCATCTTCGTCTTCCGAGTGAATCGACACCAAATGCGAGCCTTTAGCCAGCTTTCGGCAGTGCTTTTCGGCATCCGACCACTCGAAGAGATCCCAATGAATTCCGTCCGAATAAGTGAAATTCTGTAAAGATCTCTCTAATTGTTGAGCCTCGATACTCACATGCAAATAAAAAGAGGTCTGCTTGTTGTACACCCAACCATCGAGACATGCGCCAGCTAAAGAAGGTCTAGGTGTTGGGGTTATAAACTGTTTCGTTTTTCTGCAGGAATCATCCACTGAGTAGCACGAGTGGCTTAGCCTTTCTAGTGTTTCTAAGGTGCCAGTGATTGTAAATGCATCAAAATGCTAACAAGGGAAGAATGATTGTGTTCTGTGGCCTTTTTCGATGATCTATTTTCGCAGAATTTTACGCTGGTTCAATCATGTAAAAGTTAGCTGCCAAATGGCGGGCAATCACTGGCATAAAGGCAAACAAATGAGACGCGTTGGGTTCGAACTCTTGACCAGCTTGCTGTACAAACACTCAACCACTCGGCCACCGATGAACAGCTTGTGTTGAAAAAAATCGGCTTAAAAGGAGAGGCTCAAAACTTCTGGGCTTTATGCCAGTTTGGCGGTGATTACCCGCCATTCGGGAGCTAATCATAGAAGCTAATCATAGAGCTAATTTTACATCATTAGAATCAGCGTCAAATTCTGCGTCGAATGTCCTATAGATCATGGGAAAAGGCCACGGGATTCAATCATTCTTCCTTTGTAAGCTGAATGCACATGCTTAGCATTTGTTCCCTACGTGATGGCTCTTGAAGTGAGCAGAGTCCCGGCCGAACCGTTGAACAGTCGGCTGAATACCATTTCTGATCCGCAAGACTCATCACAGCGCATAGAAATTCGGCATTTCGAGTCGGTTCCTCTGAAATTCCCCGATGTTAAACTTAGCCAAATCATTCAATTTCAACCATTCGATGCCCAATTTGTATAGGTCAACGGCGATCCATCCGAATAGGTCCAAGAATCAGCCGATGTTTTGCGAATGACACCAATGTATGGATTGGTGCCGTTGAAATCTTGATGATTAGCATTTGAAGGAATTCATTATCATTCCAACCTCTTGTCATCAGAAAAGCCACCGAGCGCTCATAGAAATTGCGAATTTGCACGACCATCCCGCCGAGAGTCGCACAGTCAGCAACAACCCCGGGATAAGCATTGTCTGAATGATGTAGAGGATCCGATAAACGATCAATTTAAAGAATTTTGGGTGGCTTATATTCTTGAAACTGTCAAGTAACTATCTAGAAACAATAGTCTTTTAATCAACACTTGCTTGGCTTTCAGCAGATGCTTAACCAACCGGTTTTCAATGGGAAAATGCAGAGTTTCTCTTCTGGGACATTCGCGCCGTCATTCGGGCAAATGAACGCCGTTACGCTGAGATTTGTAAAGGTGAGAAATAGAAGCAGATAATGACGATGATTTTGAGACATTAGCAATGATCTACCGAGGTTGGGAACCACTCTTTATAGCCTCCTCGACACCAAAGACCAGGATTTCTTGGGTGAACGAGAACGAACAAGGGGGAATTCCCTTTCGCCTTATCACCAACCGAAAATAAATTCGTTTCTCGATTCTCCGGAGAAACCCTTTTTTGTCTTTTGATCTTTTCAATGGAAAGTTTCGGAAATGATGAAATGATCTCATTTTTCGGCTTCACAAACTATTCGCCCACCTCATTTCAGGCTAATTTGAAAGCCACGATTTGGGTTGGGGAGAATGAAATGGCTTTGAACTTTAAAGACACTTTTTGCATGAATAAAGCTTTCTTTAAATATGCGTTTTCTTTCATCAAAAGGCTCCACTATTGCTCTACAAAATCACTTTTGAGAGATTCTAAAAAGCCTTTTTTTGTAAAGTTTATGGACTTCCAAACACAGCTAGTCAAAAGTCAAAAGTCAAAAGTCAAATGGCAAAGAGTTCGACTCATCGTTTGAACAGTTTCTCTCACATAAACCTCCTTTCATCTCTACATAAAAAAGATAGAGCACACTCAATTGCATAAGTTGCCAAATTTTCAGAAAGATCCCTCCAACCGTTTTCTCTAGATGACAGTTTATAGATTGAAAAAACGACCTTTTGTTGAGCTGAGGCGCTTGAGTTCTCTTTTAGTTGAGTTTTTTTTTTGTTTAATTCCCTTTTAAATGCCATTTTTTAGAGAATTAATTAACCTTTCTACTGATATTATTTGACGAATTCTGCTAGAAGTTTTAGAAATGTCTTTGATTTTCCATGCCATTTCATTCTCTTCAACCCAATATTTCAGGCTCTTTGCTGTCGTCTCTGATTAGTTACCGTAAATACTGTAACAGTACCCCACCCCCCTCGTACAGTCGCGTAGTCGCAAGTATTTCATTGTTTCATTTTTTTCAAAGCACCCGTACTTTCAAAAAATGCGTTTTTGGTATCAAAAAATAGCCCTGAATTTCAGCTATTTTTTGATATTTAAACGAGCATTGTAGCATAAACCAGTGTCGAGAAAAACTCGTTCAAAGCTATACTAGCTTAGCCACAATAAGGCGCCTGGCTCAGGGGAAAAACTGATCCTCGGAAAAACTCGGAGATATTCGAGTCGAATTCCTTCTATTTGAGTACTCTTTATTTGGATCATTACTACTCGAGTGCCATCTCGTTTCGCATATGGGACAACTTTTCAGGTTGATCGAGCCAAGCAGATCTCTGAAGTGTGAATATTGATCATCAGCTATTAGCAAACATTCATTTCTAGAGCACATTTAGACATAGTTGAAGGGGACAAAAATGGCACCGATTCAACAGAAACTAGGCTCTGTCTTGACCCGCATAGGCAACACTGATGCTAACGACAATAAAGAATATGCCGTGAACTTTTATTAGAGCATTTGAAAAAAGTGTGGGATTTTCTATTAGAACAGAACTAGCACTCTCTTCATTCTCTTCTTTTAATTCATCAATAAGCATTCGTTTCATAATTTTGCCGCACCCTGTAGCCTGGCAGATCTCGACTTTACTGTTTCAATTGTCATAATACTAGTTTCATAAAAATTCTTCGAAGAACTCGAGAGGCCATGAAGATCTTGACCGGCCCAAATTTTCAGTCCGTCAATCCAAGTTCATATGATATCATTCAAGGCAAAAACATTTCTAAAAATATCCAACTACATGATGTTCTGATCGTCAAGTTTCATTAATTCCTTACAGATCTTTTTTCGTATCATTGGACGATACGAAGCAGTTTTGAAACCTCAAAACACACGTTTCCCAGTGTAGAATCTCATCAAAACTATCGATTTTTAAGTTGATTTCATGATGTCATTGTTGTTTAGTAGGATCTAGCATAGTTTACTAGAAACACTGGTAGCTCAAAATAAATGCTATGAATGCTTTCAATCCGTACAATAATTAGGATCAGTTAAAATACACCCAGAAGTTGCTAGAATTCCATTTTAGAAGTATAGAAAAGAGTTCATATGATATTATTCAAGGCAAAACCATTTCTAAACCTATACGTCTACATGATGTCATGGTCGTCAAGTGCTATGTTTAGTAGGATATGTTTAGTAGGTGTTCTGATCGTCAAGTTTCCTTAATTCCTTACAGATCTTTTTTTCGTATCATTGGACAGTACGAAGCAGCTTTGAAGCCTCAATTCCCAGTGTAGAATCTCATCAACACTATCTATTTTTAAGATGACTACATGATGTCATTGTGTTATGATATTATTTTTGTACTCATTAATTCCACCCACCAATTGTATTGTATCAATATAAAAGATCCACAAATAGCCAAATCTTCATTCTGTTTTTCAAAACATGAAGCTCTCCGTCCTTCTTTTCCTTTTCGCATTCTTGGCTTTGTCGATGGCTCATGTGAGTGTTTAAAGATATAAAATTCAAGTAAATTGAAGTAAAGCTTTGAAAAATGAAGACTTGAGTGTGCTAGAAGGAAAATTTAGACTTCAAGATTGAATATTTTAGCTGAAAGAATAGTGATATCCTAATTCAGTATTTAATCGGCTAATTATATGAAGAATCACATTTCAGTATGCCAAATATCCCCAAGAGCTGAAAGCCAACTATCCCAAGGTTTGTCTTTTCGATAGATTCATTTCCTAAAAGTCAAACTTGTTTGATCGACGAGAAAAAAAGTACAATCCAGAGTACGGTAGCGTTTTCTAGAACACCTTTTACTAAACGACGAGCTGAGTAAATTACCAAACAAATCTCTAGGGTTATCCCGACATCGTTTATCCCGGACAACCCCAAGATCTGAAAGCCAACTATCCCAAGGTTTGTCTTTTAGATGAATTCATTTCCTAAAAGTCAAAGCTCGTTTGATCAACGAGAGAAAAGTACGATCCAGAGTACGGTAGGGTTATCCCGAAGGTGAAAGATGTGCATCTGGAGAGCGGCTAATTATATTTAATAGGCTAATTATATGAAGAATCACATTTCAGTATGCCAAATATCCCCAAGATCTGAAAGCCAAATATCCAAAGGTTTGTCTTTTAGATGAATTCATTTCCTAAAAGTCAAACCTCGTTTGATCAACGATAGAAAGGTACGATCCAGAGCTCGGTAGCTTTTTCTAAGCCACCTTTTAGTAAACAAAGAGCTGAGTAAATTACCAAACAAATCTCTAGGATTATCCAAAAGGTCAAAAATGTGCATATGGCATGCGCTACGAGTATGTATGCGGTGACCCGTCTTGTTCTTGGGAGTGCGTCTCCATCTACAACTAATTGAGCCATGAATTTTGTCTTGTGATAAAGTATTGATAAATTTTGAATGAATTTTGTGTCGTGATAATACAATTGATGGATGGAATTAATGGGGACAAAAATGACGTCATAACACAATGAGATCATGAAGTAATATCTTAGAAATAGACAGTGTTGATGAGATTTTACACTGGCAAACGTGTTTCCCAGTGTAAAATCTCATCAAAAGATCGGTAAAGAATTAATGCAACTTGACGATCAGAACATCTACTAAACATATCCTACTAAACATAGCTCTTGACGACCATAACATCATGTAGACGTATAGGTTTAGAAATGGTTTTGCCTTGAATGATATCATATGAACTCTTTTCTATACTTCTAAAATGGAATTCTAGAAACTTCTGGGTGTATTTTAACTGATCCTAATTATCGTACGGATTGAAAGCATTTATAATAGGTTGATGCATAAGTCTTTTCGCTTTTTTCGTACTTCTGTTAAAAAGTAACAAATTCACGAATTAATCTATAGTTTGCTCTATAAAAAAAGTGTTTTTTTGTTCAATTTGCATCTTTTTAAATGAATTTCGGTTGACTTTCAAGCAAATTCGAGAGTGAAAAACGCCTTTTTCGTAAAAATCTATAAAAAACTCTACGGAAAAATTGGCTGAATGAATTTCTCTGAAATTTTGGCGAAATATCAAACGTTTTTTTTCTCTATCTTTTATCTATTGACACGAAGATAGGTTTTCTTTAGCTAAGGTGTCTAAACCGCATCATCGAGTTAGCCCTTTTTGACTACCCGACTTCATACTCTCAAGAAAATCCAGGCATTCAATATTTTTAAACCCGTTTTAATGTTATTTTGCAGAAAAATAATTGCTTTTTCTAATGAAATCAACCGTAGTTTAATTCATGCATTTGTTGGCTTGAAACGGCAGACGAAAAGGAACAAAAAGACTTATGCATCAACCTAATAGCATTTGTTTTGAGCTACCAGTGTTTCTAGTAAGCTATACTATATCCTACTCAACATTTGAAAGCTGGAAGTTGTGAAATTTTTTATATAGAAGACGTATCTAGCTGCTCGATTGTTGTAAATTGAGCCCAAGTCTTCCCGGTCCAGTTAACTAAGATTTCGAATCTTAGAATCAGAAAAAATTTAGAATCAACCATGTCTGAATCGATTCAGACATGGTCGAACGATCAGTAGGCCCGATTTTCTCTGCAAAATGGCTCTCAAGAGAATTGTAGAGCGATTAATCCCTAAGAAAAGTCTATAAACCTCTTCAATGTCCAAAGAAAATGTTTGTCAATATTACCGCTGATCTTTAAAAGTCACTTCCGAAATGAAACCACTAAAAAGCAGCTTGAAGCTTTGAGAGAAAAGATTGACTTGTCTTCTGGTTAATATGGACACACAATTGAAAACATTTATAGCATTTATAGCTTCTGGACACACAATTCTTCTGGTTAATATTGCGTTTATTCAGATTCAGATTTTCTTTCGATTTTCTTTCGATTTTCAGAATTTTATTTTCATATTTATTTTTAAAGCTCTTTCCAATTATGAAATGAAATTTTTCTCATCAAAAGACACACAATTCGGGTACCCGATTCATTTGGAAATAAAAGGCAAAAGGGATAATATGCTTGTGTGATAATAAAAAAGTGATAATAAAAAAATCACAGGGTTATGTCGATTCACAAAAAAAAATCTCAATACAAAAACATGCAAAAAGATAAAGAAAATAAGGCAAAAAAGTCGGCACTTTATCGAGAATTTGAAAGTTTTTTTGAAAAACGAAATACAGTACTGGACAATGAAATATGATATTGGAAAAACGATCGTCACTTTCACGCGTCTGTAACCCCCTTATCTTTGATGCCAGATATCTCGCGTTACAAAGCTCCGTTGGAAAAAGGAAAAGCCTATTTAGAATCAGCCGATTCTATTAACTGGCTCTCGTATTAAAAGGCCACCTTGACCTGGTGTCTTTCCCTAGTTACTGGGACTCTTTAATCTCTTCTCTTCTCCTCGACAATTCATTTTCCTTTCCTTTTCTCTTTCTTTTCTCTTTCTTTTCTTCACTAAAAGCTTTCCTTCTCCATTATTCTAGCACCTAGCTATTAGAGGGGGAAACCCTTTCGGCAACCAAACAAAACCAAGACATTCATCCCCATCCCTGCTCGATTTCCTTTTGTTTCTGTCTTTAATCATGGTAAGAAAGAGTTTTGTTTTTATAGATCCTTTGTAGATTGTTGCTTTCTAAAAGAACTTGTTGCAAAAAAGGAAAACCGGTGATGTTTTCAGCAATATAAAGTACTAGACAATGAAATATAATATTTAAAAACGATCGTCACTTTCGCGCGTCTATAACTCCCTTGTCTTTGAGTTTAAACTATTAGTGTTATACATTTTCTGAAAGCTCTTTTCAAGGGCTACACAATGGTAATATTAATATTTAGAAATACGGTAAAGAGAAGCGAGTTACAGACACGCGAAAGTGACGATCGTTTTTCAAATATTTCATTGTCCAGTAGTGTAGCTCAAGCCATCCTTTAGCTCGTTGTTACGTATTGCAAAGTGCAGGGTTGCCCGTTAGGGGTTATAGCGCCGCACTTCAGAGAGCCTAGATTGGGTCAAAATCAGGACAACAGGATTTAGGGAGCTACAGACGAGCTACAGACGCGAAGGGAGCTACAGACACGCGAAAGTGACGATCGTTTTTCAAATATCATATTTCATTGTCCAGTACTGTAGGCGAAATCTCAAAGATATAAAACCAAAGTTTCATAGAAAATCTATCAGAAATTTGAACTCAAAATCTTCTTTGAGTTAAAGAAAATGGAAACAAACCTTTTCTGGCACGATGAAATCCTGTTTTTCACTTTCAAAAGGAAAATTGGAGACTTCGGTACACCAGATAGGGTGCTTTTACACGTTTAGAGCACAAAGTACACGTGAAGAACGGTTTCCGGTGTACTTTGTACTTTTATTGTGTAAACGCACTCTCTCTGGTGCAGTCAAATTTCCAAATACTCCTTTAAAGATGCTAGTGATGCGAGAAAATTGTCTTTTTGCAGAGAAAGAATTTCGGGGAGAATTTAATGCGGTAGGTTTCCATTTTAAACCCAAACTCAAACTCCAAAACCCTTTTCTATTTCCCGAGACTTTGTGCCGCTAAACGCAACAATTGGAGACCCAAATTAAACGAAAAATTGAGGAAAAGTACACAGAAAATGACTTGAGTGATGAAAATTAGCAACTGGATCAGAGTGGAGAGGGAGAAAAGCTTTGCAGGAATGATCGAAAGGGAGATTTCATGGTATTTCCGAGAAAGCCAAGCGATTGATGACTCGAATGGAGGATTGGGGGAAAAGTGCAGGGCAACTTCCTGAAAAATCGATTGTTTTTTTTCAATTTCAACAATAATCGTGTTTTCTTCGTGCCCCGCCCCTTTGCCATTGGCAATCCAACTTTGAGCTCAAATATCTCGGCTTTGAGCTGTCCAATTTTAATCTTCTTAATATTCTTAGATGCGCCAAGTCTTTCTCTGTCGATTGGTACAAAAACTATTGCAATTGGACAGCTCAAAGCCGAGATATTTGAGCTCAAAGTTGAACTGGCAAAAGGGGCGCGTCCAGAAATACCTTTTATACGCGCCCGCCTCTTTGCCATTGGCAATCTAACTTTGAGCTCAAATTTCTTAGTGTTTGACTGTCCAATTTCAATCTTCTTAATATCATTTGATGCGCCAAGTCTTTCTCTGTCGATTGATACAAAAACTATTTAAATTGGACGGCTCAACACCAAGAAATTTGAGCTCAAAGATTGCCAATGGCAAAGGGAGCGGGGCTCGTATCAAATTCCCACAATCTCCAATCAATATGTCACAAAAGAATATGCCCAAACTCTTGTGAAAATTCGAAAACTTTCACAAACCTGTGGTGTTTTCTCAGCTGTTTCCGGTAGATGGTAATAATTGATGAACACATAGAGAGCATTCATCATCACAAATGGAACCAACACGTTCTCTGTGCCCAAATGATTCACTGCGGTGAGCAGAAAGTTCGTGAGAATTCCGCCGAATACATTCTAAAATGAAATTGGGTTTAATCTTCACCATTCCCTTTGTCGTCATGCCGTCGACTAGCTAAGAGCCGTGCATCTTATTCAGGAGATCAAGAATTCAATTCCGATGACTAGATTATTGGTTCTTTTTCCCATATACATATTTCCCATATACATATTTCCCATATACATATTTCCCATATGTATATGGATCGTTTCTTCCTTACTTTTAGAGCTTGGAGGTCATACTTATGTATTGTTTGTACCACATTATTCATGTGAATGAATGTCTTTTTAACACCAAGTTCAAACCTGTGCAATTCCAACAATAGCCGTGCCAAGAATCTTGTCATTTTGTAAAAACAGCTCGGGAACGATGGCAAAAGCGCTTTCTCCAGAGATGGCAGCAGCCGAAAGATCAAAAGCCGCTAAAACGGGCAGAACAACGGCTATCGGAATGCCACGAAGAAGCACTGAAAGTTTGAATAATGAAATATTTTATAGGTACCATTTAGGTGGCTAATCTGTTAATTAATTAGTTAATTAATTAGTTAGTTAATTAGTTAGTTAATTAGGTGAATCGATCAGTTATGTATCAGAGATTTTCCGGCAGATTTTAACTAGGGAACGGCACCAGGTACCCATAACATCCACTCAGTTGTTGTGCATCACTTAGCTCACCTCTTTCATCATATCACTGTTTCAAAGTCGCCGTCTTGCAACCGGATGCTTTAAGCTCGGATCAACTAGATATGAAAACGCACGATAGCTCCGTATAGCTCAATGATCCTTCCAGATTGCTAGCTCGGGTTAAAGACTAAGCCATGCATATCTTAGTTCAGATATCTGGTTGATCCTACCAGGTGGTCACCTCCCAGGTTCCTTTCGGAACGAGATTAAACCCAGCTTATAGAATCGACTACGCTCGTTTCGAATCCGTTTT